GATAAATGCGGGCGGGCCAACGTACGCGACACGCCGAAGTTTTATTCCCGCGAGATCCGGTCGTTATTTACGCCGTAAAAAGCTAAACACGCTTAAACACGCGCTAAAAAGTTCGGAAAATATCAGGAGCACATGTAAACACCCGACAACAACTTCGGGAACTTGCGAAGCGTGCACAACTTGAGGGGCGTTATTTCATTCAGAAGTTTCATAATTAAGCGCAAATTGGGAGGAAATTTAATTTCGCATTTTACAAGTAAATATGGAATTAAATTATTGTGAAAATTTTTGGAATTTGTTTTTATTATGTCACAAGGAAAAATTTATTTTTAGGTTAAAATTATTTATTTTCAAATTAAAAAAAATTAATATGTAATAAATAATGTTTTCTACTTTCACCTATAAAACGAAAGTTTTCCACGGTTTTTAGACAGAACAAGTGGTATTTTATATACGGACGGACAAACCGTGAGTAATATCCATTATCTACGGGTATTATCTACGGGTCGGAGCTGCGTCTGCGCAATTGCCTACAGAGCAGTATAAGACAAAACCGTAACGTAGAACTAGAGTGGAAGTCCAAAAAATAGCGCAAGCATCACGAGGCTAAACGTTGTTAAACACTCGATTGATTAATCAATCTCGTGAGTAAAGTCTTCGTTTAGCCACTTGATACTTAATATACTAAAATACACTTCTTATTGATTTTCACATAAAAAATTCTTAACGCAAAAAAATCTCCGAAATGTTTTAATTTACTACACGTACATAAACCAACTTGAGAAAAGCGCCCCTCAAAACTAAAACTTATACTCCTTTACTCAGGGCCCTTGAAGGACCGCCAGTAATAGCACTAAACAAACGCGTAAATGCTGCCCGGCCACAAATCCTGTTTACTTTTATTGCGCGATGTTCCTTTCGCACATAAAAGTCGAATAAACGCCTCGCGTGCTTCTGACTCCTGATTACACCCTAGGTTGTTGGGTTTATTTAGGCCGCTGCCCAAACGGGGGATTTTTATGAAACTGCAAGCCGAGTGCGATTCATCCTTAGAGCTCAGCAAATATAAAATGTGGCTTAGGTATAATTACAAGTGAGGGTAGTTAAGAATCAGAACATAAAAATATAGTTTATATATTATATATTTTTGGGAAACTTTGGGAAATTTTGTATAATCTATGTAATTATATTGATAAAACAACGTTATGTTAGTTACACCGCTTATAACTCAAGAACGGTTAAACAGATTTAGATGCTCTATAATTTATTGGATTTGTTTCTGTCCCAAATAGCAGAATAGCAATTAAAATATCAATAATTTTAACTTACAGGGTGTTAAATATTAATATTTTTACTAAATTATACTAAAAGAACAATCTCGTGGGCAAAAGTTGGTTTACAATAAATTTATGATAATTATCTGAATTGCACATACATTTGCATAATTATAAATTAATTAGCGTTTGTGATTAACTCATAAATTATTAATTATAAAATAAATAATTTAAGTCGCATGGCTTTTCACTAAACCAATTTATTTTAAACTCAAACGCGCTGAAAACATAATATTGACAGGTTTTAATTACGTGTGTTTGTGTATCGAGAGTTGACATATTTTATTAAAATGCTTTGATTAGGCCTTTTTGATAATCAGGTATATTAAAATTGTTTAATAAAATTTGCATCAATATTTTGTCAGACTATGTTTGGTAATTTTGGAACTATAAATTTAATATATTATGATGCACATACTCGTAAAATATTGATTTATTAGTATGGCTAGATATTTATTTATTACAAAATATTTCAAAAATATTAAAAATTTAATTTTAGTAAAAAACTTATTTTTTTTATTTTTTGAGAAATAGCTTTAAATATTTTTATTAATTTATTTTTGGTAATCGATTTAAAATAGTATTTTTTAATTAAAAACATATTTTTACCTTTTGTATTATTGATAAATTAAATAAATCAAGTAAAATCATGTTTTTAATTTACTAAATTAATCAAACTACGAGTACAACTATGTAAATCCTAAATTTAAAAAATTAAAAAGTAACAGTGTAACATATTGCTTGAAACTGCGGTTAATTAAAACCAAGTTGCAATATCATCGGCGATTATGCATTTTCATCTCGACGCTGCATCCTCGCCATTAGTCCACGCTGACGTTTTTCATGCAATCGCATCCACCATGCACTTGCGACGCGCGCATAAATTTTCGGCGTCGCAAAAGTTCATAGGCAAACTAGGAGTAATTCCGTCTGGCAGGTCCTGCCGTTGCGCGTCGCAAGTCGCAACTCCCGAATTCCACTTTTCAGTTTCCACTCTGCGAGCGTGTATGTTGGTGCCTGAGGGTGATTTATATCTATCGAGTGGTGGATGCGAGCATGCAGGAGGACGACGAAAGCGGAAGGAGGACCATCGCCGAAAGTCGTTCGACCCTAAAAACTTTCGTAGCGCAAAAGTTTGTCAATTAATAATCGGCCTTCCTCAATCATCGTACTTGCCTGCTGAGTAAACTGAGCAATCCTGCAAAGTCGCAAAGTCTTGGAAGTAGGATGTAGGTTATTAGCATTAACCTCCTTTTGGAAGGATAATAGAGTGTATAATGTTTTAATCAATTGGATTTAATTTATTAAGTGAATAGTAGTAAATAGTAAATAAAAATTGATTTATTTTAGCATTATTATTGGAATATAAGGGAATTTGTGTTTTTGTGTGTTTGTTACTCTTTCACGCATAAACTACTGAACCAATTTTGATAAATTTTTGTCTGAAAATACTTTTGGTCAAGGAAATTGACATAGGCTACAATTTATTACAAAAAAATTACTAGAAGGGCGTTAAATAAGGGTTACAAGTTAGTATGAGTATTAAATCATAGTTATAGTTATATAATCTATATCGAGATGGCACTACTCGTCATAAATTAGACTAATTTTATTAAATATTTTATTGCAAATAATTTTATCTCAAAAAATTAAAAAAATTGCCAAATAATGATTTTATTTACATTTGAAGCACATAAAATACTAAATCCCTTAATATCTTATCAAATTTCAATCAATTTTCAACCTCCCAAAGTAATCGATCCCCAAATGAAATTATTTACCAACAAATTGAATAAAATAACAATTTCAATATAAAACCCTCCTCTCCCCATGTTATTCGATTGTAATCAACTCGTATCGACAACCCGCCGCCGCTGGTACGCGTTTAACGAGTTATTACTGGGGCCCTAATTGAATTATTGTACTTATTGAAACGGCGCTTCACAATTTGCGCGTCAAAAACAAACGCGTGTCGAATTGTAAATTCGCGCATCGAGCGGCGTATTTAATCGAGCGCAAACCTCACCAACACCATCAAACAATACGTAAACTTCATATATACTCAGCGAGTAGCAGGAGGATGAGGCATGGGACGGGGAGATTTAGGGATGTGAGTTAACACCCCCACGGGGATGAGGAAACGAACGCGTCAAAAATTATGACAAATGTACTCGTGTTCATGCGATCGTGCGATTATGAATTGTGTTCATCGAGTCAGCGTCGCGGCAAATGAAGTGCGCTCTAATAACACGCGTCAACCAATCATCTCATCGACAGCGGTTTAAATTATTCCATTGAGTGTATTATTCATGGAAATTGTTCCATATGTGTGTATTAATTAAATTTTTGAGTTGGAAAATATTTATTTTTAAATTGCATTGTGTTTTAATAGGAAATAAGGTGTAATTTTGGCAAAAACAGGTTTTTGTATGTTTGTGTCACTTTCACGGCAAAACTACTTAAGTAATTTTTATAAATTTTGGTATGCGGATTGTTTAAACATTGGAAAATAACATAGACTACTTTTTTCCGCATAAAAATGATTTTTAGGGTGTAAAATAGGGGATGAAAGTTGATATAATAAAATTACATATAATAAACATTTTTTATTAATAAATAAACATAGATATAATATAATATAAGGTAATAAAAATAATGTTCATTTCGTTATCAGAATATTTACGACTTCACTCAAGAGTTAACAAGCGCAAAGCAATAAATGACTCATATAGATACCGGCAGAATCGAGGACAATTGTAGATCCCGCTGTCAAGCCACGTAAAACTGGCAAAACTATAGAAAATCGTAAATCAATTGAGTGGTATTATGGACTGAATTCCATTCCAGCCGGCGGAATGAAGCGACTTTTGGCGGTCGGCGGTTTTGTACGCGCGATACGAAAATACTGGCATTGGGAATTCGAAAGTTGGTATATTAGTGCGAGGGTTTTATTACACCTTGATGCGAGCTCCGCGCAGCGCAAACCGCAACAGAAATCGAAAATTTACGATTATTGGCGATTAATTCGCAGTTTCGAGAGCAATTGAAACTCTACACTGCGATACAGTACGATACACATCTTATCAGCTAGGGGCTGCTTTATCAACCCCTTAGAATTTATTTTTGTGTATTTTATTAGCGTGGTTTTGGGAAATTATGGGAACTACACTTTTTGCAAAAATTAAACATGTTATAGTGAAGTGGATGCCAAAAATATTTGATCGATAAACCGGAAAACAGGAAAAACAAGTTTTTATTGCTTGATATTTGGGTCATCGGTGTGCAAAACATTAAAAGCTTTCAGCGTAAGTTTTCCACAAAGAAAAATTCAGTTTTACTATTTTATATGTAAACACTATTTATTATTATACAGAGTGTGCTGAATTTTAAAATATTTGAAAAATATTTTATGCGTTACAATTAATTATATTTAATTGAATTTCTCATCTCTAAAGATTCGGGAAACGATGGTTTGTATAGTGCACACGAGGAAATGTTGACGTTGATGGAAGATTGCACGAATTTCCTTCTAGCGAGTTTTCTCACCAGGCGCGCGAATGTAATTGCGATCCATAAATCAAAATCAGTACGGTTTATTTTTGTTATTTGCAGTCAAAAATAAAATTTCAAATTTATTGTGTAACATATTTTTGTATTTATTTTCAGGAAGTCGGAAAACCGGAAATAATGTGTCACATTTATAAGAGGGAGTGGTTGTGAGTGGAGACATACTTGTAGCTGCATTTGGGTAAGTAATACACCAAACTTTCTAATGCCCATGCGCGGTAGCGCAAACATTAAGTAGGCGGAGCAAAAAATTACATTTTCTTAAATTGCAAGAAAACTAATAATTGTATTAATATAATTCAAACTATATTCAATAGTAAAATAAATTATTTACTGTTTTTTATATTTTTTTGTTTAAAAATAAGTTTTTTAAAATATTATTTTTTTTAATTTTATATAGAATTTAAAGAAACTAATTTAACTCATTTGTAAACTCTTGAATTGAACTCGACAGTATAATCCTGCTCACTTTTCCGTAGAATAGTTTATGTTCGTGTCGTTGAGTCGACTGGCGCGGCAATTGCAATTACGCGGGGCCGCACAGTTTATCCCGCTGGAGTCGATGCGCCTTTGACTTGGCGGAGGCGGCGGCGGCAGCAGCGGCGGCGTTGCGCTGTGACATGTTAATTAGGTTCGCGTCGCGTCCTGCGAGTGTTTCTGTCTTGCGGTCGCCAATTTAATGCCAGATTTGTAAGGCGCACCCTTGAGAAAAGCATAAATAGATACTTTGTGTGATTATTTCTTAGATTAATATCCTTTAAATCCTTTTAAAAAAATTATAACACACTCTGTATTATAATAGGTCAATTATTTTTAAAGTATAATGCATTTTCCATGTCCATGTTTCGAAACAAGTTCAACTCAACAATTTGCACAGTCCGGATGTCCGCTTTTGTCCTTTTTCGTCCTGTCAAACGCATGCGAACTTATCTCAGCTGGCCACATTCGCACTGCTCATCAATCAAACAATTCGTGGCCGATTCACCTCGAGGAACAAGCGCTGAATGACCACGGCTGGTCACAGGGTGCAAAAAGGACTAATAGAGCTGGACCATTGTCAACCCCATTCACGAGGCTGGACGAAAACTCATAACTCGACGCAAAGTCACGTATTGTACATTTCCGTCACATAACAACGAGACGCGTCGAGAGACATGCAATATCCTCCTGCTTCCTGCCACCATTCTGAACCCTGTACTGTGGGTGGGTTTCTATCTCTGGTTGTCAACCTTTAACGAAATAAAACTAATTAGGTAAGCACATTTTTATGTAAAATATAAAGTAAGCATAAAAATGTACATTTTAATTATTATTTTTTACGATTTATTTTATGTCGTTTGTATTTGAAGGATAAAAAAAGCTAGGAAATATTCTCGACAGATGTTTTGCCTCTCGTCTCGACAGGACGAGTCTGATAGAAGATGTAATGTTTGATATTTCGTGCCAAGTTTTCGAGGAATTTGAATTTTGAATAAAGTTCCGCTGATGCGTCAAAACGAGCAGCCGGAGAGCTGCGCTGCTCGGGAATGTCTGAAAAGTTTGCGAGGTGTATACTGCACGTGGCGAAGAGTCCTGGATCCTGAGTCCTGAGAGCGATTCGTACTTTTATTTTGGTCGTCGTCGCGAACGTTGCGAACTATTAGGGTGGAAACGAGGTTGAATTTTTATTTGGTTTAGTTTGATTTTTAATGCATTTTAGATTTTTTGCTGCCCGGAAGTTGGGAAACGGCAAACGGAAATATTGTCATTTTAATGTCAAGACGGAAATGTTAGATAAAATGTATTAAAATGTATTTAAATAAGCAGATGTAAGAATATTACGATGGTAAGAACTATAAATAAACTGAAAGTTAATTTCAATTAGTTTTTGCATTGCAAAACGTAAAAATCGGAAAAAAGTTGCTTATTTAATACTTTCTTATTCCTGAAGCCTATTAAGTGTTAATTGGATCAATAAGACTTTCTATTTGCATTTCAAGAAATGTGAATTGCTAATAAGACGTTATAACGCCATCTCAATGTGAATTATGCAACAAAAATTATTACTGCGTTACCGTAACAACTTTTAACCCCTAATTTTACACCTTTTCAGTTATATTTTTGTAACAAAAATTAATGTATTTTATTTCCTATGGTCATGGTTATGTCCACACCAAAATATATTAAAATTTGTTAAGTGGTTTAAGCGTGAAAGTGTTACAAACAAACAAAATTGCATTCATTTCTGATCCGGGCTATAAAAAGTAAAAATGTATGATTTTTTTCAAATGTAATTTAACATATCTATATTATACCACTTATTAAATTTAAATTACATTTTTAACATTAATTATTTTACTCAAAATTAAATAAATAAATATTTTTTAATTTGAAAGAAACTCTTATCGTGTAAATCTATGAACATTCACCGTTTAGAAGTAAAATCTGCAAAACAAACTTTTGTGTTTCGATTCGGTAAGGACTTTCTTTCCCAGGCCGAGATTTTGCCGAGATTGCGATCGTTCCATTACATTAAATGGCGACCGAAAGTTTCGCTACGCGCTTTTTAATATATAACGTCGCTGTGATTTATGATGCCACCGCGCGTAGGACAAACACCCAAAGAAGATGACAACCCTCAGCTAAAGTACCTCAAAGGAAGAAAAAAATGTGCACAAAATGCTAGAATAAATAACAATAATCAAAAACATTAAATTTATTAAAATTTACATAAAATAGCAATAAAAAATAAAAATTTCAGTAATGATTTAATCTCAGCAATATATTTCTCCCTGTTGCATGTCATGTAAGAACGTTTAAATTTATCGATGATAAATTACGCCCCAAACCGCCACAAAACAATCCGCACATCCGCGACTCCCCTCTTGTCATACACATGTTACCAGTCATTTTGGTAAGAGCTTTCCAGCTTGCGGCTGGCTTTCAGCGGTGCGCGACTTGTTTCAGCCGACGGTTCATTTCACGAACATACGAGAATACTGTTCCTGCTAGGGCGCAGGAGAACCGCCCGGTTTTCGTCTGATTGATGGTCGAAATAACATCGATAGACACCAGACAGACAATTTAACATTTGAAACGTTCGAAAATTGCTTGAGGTTGGGATTGGATTTATTCTGTAACTAATTGGGGTAGAATATTGTTGATGCCGGTGTATGAAAGGATGGTAAATGAACTTTCCAGGAGAATAATTTTGGAATTTTATAGGAGATAATCGATAGATGGCAGCAATTTAAATTAAAATTGTCCGTAGAATCAGACGCTGCAATTCGATTTTATATATCTCTTATAGTTTACGAGATATTCGCGATTGAAAAATAGTCAAAAAGTGAAAAATGGCACTTTTTAGCACTTTTAGTCACGTTTTTTAACCTTTCAGTATTGGAAATATTATTAATTTGTACCTTTATCTGATAGAGAATTTTCCGATCTTTCATAATCAACAATTCGTTGGTAGCTATCGCTATTAGTTTAAAAGATATTAATGATCAAAAATCGTCGAAAAAAAGTATCAAGCATCCCCCCTTGGCAATTTTTTCTTAAGAATTAAAATTTCATCTCTTTGATTTTCGTTTTAACTATCCTATCTGATAGAGAAAAGTCCGTATATTAAGACGCTGCGATCAGATCCTAATTATCTCTTTTAGTTTACGAGATATTCGCGATTGACGAAAATGGGCAAAAATTGAAAAATGTTACTTTTTGGCACTTTTAGTCTCGTTTTTTGACCTTTTCCTATTGGAAATATACTTATTTTATACTATTATCTGATAGAGAATTTTCCAGTCTTTCATAATCAACAATTCGTTGGTAGCTATCGCTATTAGTTTAAAAGATATTAATTATCAAAAATCGTCGAAAAAAAGTATCAAGCACCCCCCCTTGGCAATTTTTTCTTAAGAATTAAAATTTTATCTTTCAGATTTCCGTTTTAACTATCCTATCTGATAGAGTTAAGTCCGTAGATTAAGACGCTGCGATCAGATCCTAATTATCCCTTTTAGTTTACGAGATATTCGCGATTGAAGAAAATTGGCAAAAATTGAAAAATGTCACTTTTTAGCAATTTTAGTCTCGTTTTTTGACCTTTTCCTATTGGAAATATTATTATTTTATACCTTTACCTGATAGAGAATTTTCCAATCTTTCATAATCAACAATTCGTTGGTAGCTATCTCATTTTGATTAAAAGATATTAATTATCAAAAATCGTCGAAAAAAAGTATCAAGCACCCCCCCTTGGCAATTTTTTCTTAAGAATTAAAATTTCATCTCTCAGATTTCCGTTTTAACTATCTTATCTGATAGAGAAAAGTCCGTAGATTAAGACGCTGCGATCAGATCCTAATTATCTCTTTTTGTTTACGAGATATTCGCGATTGAAGAAAATGGGCAGAAATTGAAAAATGTCACTTTTGGACACTTTTAGCCTCGTTTTTTGACTTTTCCTATTGGAAATATATTTATTTTATACTTTTATCTGATAGAGAATTTTCCAGTCTTTCATAATCAACAATTCGCTGGTAGCTACCGCTATTAGTTTAAAAGATATTAATTATCAAAAATCGTCGAAAAAAAGTATCAAGCACCCCCCCTTGGCAATTTTTCTTAAGAATTAAAATTTCATCTCTCAGATTTCCGTTTTAACTATCTTATCTGATAGAGAAAAGTCCGTAGATTACGACGCTGCGATCAGATCCTAATTATCTCTTTTAGTTTTCGAGATATTCGCGATTGAAGAAAATGGGCAAAAATTGAAAAATGTCACTTTTTGGCACTTTTAGTCTCGTTTTTTGACCTTTTCCTATCGGAAATATTATTATTTTATACCTTTGTCTGATAGAGAATTTTCCAATCTTTCATAATCAACAATTCGTTGGTAGCTATCTCTTTTAGATTAAAAGATATTAATTATCAAAAATCGTTGAAAAAAAGTATCAAGCACCCCCCCTTGGCAATTTTTTCTTAAGAATTAAAATTTCATCTCTCAGATTTCCGTTTTAACTATCCTATCTGATAGAGTTAAGTCCGTAGATTAAGACGCTGCGATCAGATCCTAATTATCTCTTTTAGTTTTCGAGATATTCGCGATTGAAGAAAATGGACAAAAATTGAAAAATGTCACCTTGTACCATTTTTAGTTACAATTTTTGACTTCTTACCCTACGATATATAATTATTTTATTATTTAATCTAATAGAGAATTTTTCAATCTTTCATAATCAGCAATTTCTTCAATTCTAGCGTTTGAAAAAAAATATTTTAGAGTTTATACTGTTTTTTACCAACAGTATTTTACCTGTCAGCATTTTGCTTGGTTCGTATTTATTCCTCGATTTATATTCTATAAGAATATTGTCTAGGACAATGCACATTCTTTAGAAAATATATTCAGTCACAAAGTTTACGATTTCCGAAGTCGCCGCTATTGTCCTATTGTTTCAACAGTTGCACATTCCTCGCTTACACACTGGATGCTAAACATCCAAGGGCACTCCAAGGAGTACTCAAAGGACGACGCTACAATCGCATCGAGCGGATACTTGTAAATTCACGCTGAGCACATCCTGCAAGTATTTTATGTTTTATGTCCTCTGCAAGTATATGAGAGTGTCTTTAAGACATTGTGCCTCTTGTATAGTCTTTAAGGATCATGCGCGTGGATACACGAGGACGTGTAACGACATGCAATGTTGTTAAACAATTACGCTGCGTTGCGTCGGGATGTGCGCGCATTAAATCAAATATGATTATGTCTATTATGCATATTATGCCGCGGGAGCCCGGCAGGATGAAGTAGGGATAAAGCAGAGCGATGAAATACGGAACTATTCAGGATGAAGCTGTGTGAAGTGAAGGATGGCACAAGATGAAATGCCAGAGCATTGAGACTTCCTGTTTCCTTTATGAACGTTGTTTATAAGCGTCGCAAAGAGTAAATCCTTACATTTGTCATCCAGGATCAGAAAAAATGATACATCAAAAGATGTAATAATAGTTATTTAATCCTATGAGAATAAAACATATTTATTCAGTCTAGGCAATAAATTTATTTAAATTACATGTTGAAAGTGTTGTAAGGTCGTGTTTAATTTTTTTAGAATGGAAGGATAATCTGAGGAATAATTAAACTTATGAAGCGCCCACACTGCCAGGCTAGACACCCTCAATGTCTGGCTTTGTTGCCGCTCCGCTCGTCTTAAACGCGTCATCTCGATACGCTTTCGACTCTCGATTCCCTTAATTATGAAGACGCGGAGTGAGCGGGTTTGGATGACACTAACGTAATTAAAATTACAAGGACGCGCAAATTCTGCAGATACACTGTTCACAAGCGATGCAGACGCTGGAACAACAACAAAAAAATTCACACAATTTGATTAAAGTGTGCAAAATTTTAATCATAATTAAAGACTTGCACAAAGAAAAACTAATTTTACTAAAACACATTAAGATCTAAAAGCTAAACATATTATTTTTATAAAATTTATAAAAAAATCTTATTTAGTTTTTAATGCAATTTTATTAATATATTTCTATTGCGCATGCGTAGTAGCGCAGACTCGTAAATGGGCGGAGCAAATTTTTAAATAAGTTTTTTTTAGGTGGTTTTTATGAAAATAAACTTTAATTAAGTTTCCTTTGATTTTTCATGATTGAAAATTAGCAATTTTCTGTTAACAATATAAAAGAATAAATTGTTAGGCTAAACTTCGAATTCAGCACAACGCTTTGTGTTTTATATGTTACTGCGGCCATTATATGCAAACGAAACTAATTTGTATTCACGGTCCGTAATTGCATGTAGCTGTTTTCGGTCGTTTTTTGCAGCTTTCATTAAGCCTGATTAAAACTTCACATTCGCGCGTTGCATTCATTTTATCAATAGTTTTATTTCCCTTTCTGCCTTTCCCCAGTCGACATTATGGACATAATCGTATGCAAACAACATCTTTGTAAATGCAATGCATGAAAACTCGAAAATATTCCGCTACATATAACCATCATTAGTTATTTCAACTTAGTTGTATAACTCAGATACTTTCGCGTAGATCTTTTGAAAGCTTAGGACTCTTTAAAGGTTTAATTTTAAGAACTTGTGATGCTTGAACGCCTCGAGACGTTTGAAATACTTAACAATGTGAAACACTTGGTAAACATTCGAATCTTCCACCTTATTTAATCATCCGGTTTACTGCTGCCATTACTGCGCGCGCGTTTGTTCATTCCGTAGGCAACCACATACACACACCTAGCTTATGTGCCATTTTCTATTTCTATTTTGCGTTTTGCGTCTCGTTGAACGGAATTTATCTAGTGAGCAAATTCAGCGGATTACATGCCGGAATGGCGGAAGCGAGTCGCAATGTGCCGCTTAGATGCAATCGCGCGAGAAAGCAGGATAACGAAGCGAATTGCGACGGGAGTGCAATAAACGTCGAATTGGAAGTGATGAGCTTGTTTTTCCGGGTTCAGTTTCACGCCCGCGCTTCTGCAACATGAAGTTTAAATCAATATTCTTCGAGACATACTAAAGACAGAACGATGAAACAAATTGCAATCGATAAGGGATTAAATTTGACATAATTGAGACATACGCTGGACATTTCAAATCCATTAGAACATAGATGGCGCGCGTTTAAAATCCATGTTTGTAGTTTATAGAAAACTGTTTTATAAAAAATCAAAAATTGAATTAAAATGCAATTATTATTATGTTATTTTTTCTTTTTAACGTTAATTTATAAATAAACAAATTATATGCACATAAATAATTAATTTTAAATAAATAATGGATGATTTATTAACGTAAATTTACTAAAATTCAAATTTACAGCAAAACTTCACGTTTTTTCAGTATTTTTCTTTAAAATTGACTTTAATTTCCTTTTTCCAAACAAATAAAAATAAATAAATTAAACATACATATTTACATTGTTGTTAAATAAGGTATTTCATCATAAACTCATGATTATCCTCGTTGGGCGCTCATTTAAACCAATATTTGCATGCGCTTCATTTATTTATTTTGTTTACGAATAGTTGACGAGAAGTTAAACGCCGCGGCGATGCAATAAATCGACGCTCGACGCCGGCGGCGGTTGTGGAGGCGGCGCGGCAAAGTAACGCTGGTATTTTCAGCGAACGCCAGCACAAGGTGCAGATGTACATGGCGCTGGGGTTTGAGGTGTATGTTATTACCCTGGCGCGGTAATAATAGTCCCCTTTCTCGCAGGGGGCGGCCGGATGCAGAAGTTGCGGCCGCGCGATAACACCGATTATTCAGCCGCCCCCGGCGCAAGCATCTGTTTGCGCGCACGCACTCGCCGTATCGGAAAGCGCACCGCAGGCGGCACATGCACTTCGCATTGCAGATGATGCGGGATACGTGAGATCAACAAATGCAAAATTGCGGCGGCGGCGGCGCTGATTTGTTGCGGAATAATAACGTTATAATGTTTGACATGTTTATTGACAATAGCGGATTTTGGCTTCGGTTTCAACTCTCGGTTGAATAACACAGCGTGTTTATTTGGTTATAACTTTGTTGATTAGTGATTTATTTGAATAAAATACGAACTGTGCATGAACTAGTTCAATATATGACAATAAAATTGTTTAATTGATCTATATCTATTAATAATCAAATTAATTTTAATGAATTTTAAGTTTTTGAATTTTTTATGAAAAATGTTTATATCAACTTTAACCCCTATTTAACACCCTAAAAATTATTTTTTCTTCATAAAAAGTATTCTATTTCCGTCTCCATAGTCAAAACTCTTTATCCCCCAAACTTAATCAAAATTTATTGAATAGTTTTTACGTTATCGCGACACAAACAAACAAAAAAATTTTTTCAATTTTGATCATAAATAAGTATCGAATACTTGGTTTTAAATATATAAAAATATCTTATCTCTTATAATTGATACATACTACTTATACTATCCTAATTTAATGTATTTTTTGTTTCCAGGACAAAACAGGACATCGTCCAGGTCCTTCAGCAATGCATTACGCGAGTTATCTACTTGTCGTCAATCTGGTCGCATTCGTCTCAACAGATAATTTAGGTAATCTGAAAAAAACTCTCTAGATCAATAGTTTTTGTGTGTCCTTGAGAGAAAAATGTAGGTTAAAGTTTAGTTAAGTTTGCGCCAAATTAACCTTTTGAAACGGATTGTTCGTGAAGGATGCTCTCGAAGATGCTCTCGAAAGAAACGTTTCCAAATTGCGGCGCTTCTTAGTTTTATTCGCTCCTTTATTTGCTGATTCGAAAGCGGATCAACGTCGAACGCAAGCGGCTGAAAAAGTCGACGTAAGACGCGAGCAAAATTTACATTAATGATGCGCGCATCGTAGGCGAACGCAAATATCACTCGGATATCCCCTTGCAGAGGATTCCGGATGCAAAGTTTGGTTTTGAAGCCTTTCAGATCATCCATCACGTGCGGAATACAAACACAAACAAATCACTTGCCACTTTCAAATAGGAAATTTTAAATTTTCGCAGGATAAAAATTGTTTATGTGGTAGTGAAAAAGGATAACAGTGTTTTATTTGGTAAAAACATAAAAGTCTATTATTTAAGTGTGGATTTTGTGGAGGGAATGATTGTGAAAGTTATTTAAACGATGAAAGAGAAGAGGACGAAGGACGCGGATGAGGACGTGGACGTTTTGCAAGGACGATAAATTTACGTAATCGCCGTGTCGGCGACATCAAAATGCGAAAATGCGCAAACGCGTGTATTAAACGTGAATTATGCCCGCGAAGAGCACGCCAGTTGTTTATTAAGGATATTTTTTACCCTTTTGGTAAATTTCATCAACAGCAGTCAAAATTTACATTTTTATATTATAGTGTGACTTTGGCAGCTTATAACTTTATTAATAATAAATATTTTGAATAAAATCTGTCAAAATTGAATCTAAAAATTGAAAAAAAAAGTTTGTTTGTTTAAACTTTAAATAATCAATAAAATATTAATAATATTAAATATTTATTCGATTCATTATATAGATTATTTATCTAAGTTTAATTTTAGGTAATAGTTTTAAATTTCTGTTAAAAACTTTCGATGTTATGAAAAAAAAACTAACCAAAGTCGTTTTTTGATCAATTTAGTTGCAAAAATCAAGTTTTCTTAAGTAAAGTTACTCGTGAATGAAAGACAAGGTTATGTAGAGTTTGCGCTGGGTGATGACACCCCACCGGCAGTAAATCCGCGTCTGTCTGGCGCATTTGGGGTGCATGCCTGTTTTTAGTCGCCGGATCCTGAGTGTGTGCACGCCATGCCGCTTGTCTCATCCCGCGATTTATGGCCTCAGTTTTACTTTACACAAGGTGCTTTTTGCACACCGCCACCCAAATCCAACCCCTTTACGCAACTCACCCTCGGCGCTGGTGTTCCGGCTTTTGCGAAAGCTGCGAGCCATCAATTCGAAAAATGTCGAGACTCGAACACAAAGCAGACTTTTGTATTATTGTATTCCTGAGCGATACAAACGTATCCTGGCATGAAAAATTGAAGAAATTCCTAAATCGAAAGGATAATAAAATAAGTATTGCTAGAAATTCCGGAAATTCTAAAGTGAGCAAAGCGGCAGCTATGTTGGAAATGTTGTCGGATTGTTTTTTTTATTATTATTATTCGTTGTAGCACTGCTGTCGGGGACATTAAGGACCTTTCAGCAGGCCGGATGCGACGACGATCTGGTGACTTTGAAATGTCCTCCAGGGACGAGTATATCCGTGGAATTGGCGCAATATGGCAAGGCGTCACCTGAGAAACAACTTTGTCCGACTAAATCTGCACATAGTCCTGATGCCTCCAAGGATACTAATACTTCCTGTTTATGGCCATCACCATTACAGGTATATAATCATTTTTCATTTAAATTCAAAAATTTTAATAAAATTTTTCTATCCATAGAATAAATGGGAGGAGATGACGCAGGGCACATGGGGACGAGTAAGTATCCACATCCGTTATAGTTCATCAGGTTCAAAACCGGAAGTGATTAGAATGGTCCCACCTAACGATGCCTAGTATTCACTGTTGCAGACCGTCGTCGAGGCGTGCCAGAAGAAAAGCAGCTGCAAGTTCCAGGCGTCGCCGAGGACCTTCGAAGGGGATCCTTGCCCGGGCGAGCGGAAGTACGTCGAGGTGGCGTACAAGTGTCGGCCGTGTAAGTTCCACGCACGCTTCCGGTCTTTTGCTTATCGCTCTGTGTATGATTCTAATCACTGTATGAAGAGTGATGGCGGCGGATGAAGGGGCAGGGGTTTTGATTGAGTGATTGGTTCGTTTCACAGACGAGTTCCGGAGTCGGGTGGCGTGCGAAAACGAGCGCATTCAACTGCAGTGTAACCCCAATTCCAGGGTGGCTATCTATAGCGCTAGTTACGGTCGGACTGAGTATGAGAGCTTTCAGTGTCCACAACCACAAGGTGTTGCTGAAGAAAGTAAGCAAAAATAATTTTTATTTCAATAAAAATTTTGTTTTAAATTTTTTGATTTTTAGCTTGTCTTGTGAGTTATGCAACTGAAACAGTAATGCAGATCTGTCATGGAAAACGATCTTGTGAGTTTTCTGCTGATGCGAGCACTTTTGGTAATCCATGTAAACCTTTAACCAGGATGTATCTCAGAATAGTCTACACATGTGGTGAGGATTTATTTTTTAAATTTTAAATTATTTACTAAACTATTCTATAAGCTTTGTTTCTTATTTTTAAAGTCCCAAGAAAAGTCCTCAATAAACAATATGAAGGCCGTTTAGCCGAGGATGAAGTAGACATGGATCTCAACTTTAACTACGATGAAGACTTTGACGGTTACGATGCCAACAACGCCCACATTCGGGAATCTGCTGCATCGCCTGCATCCAACTTGGGCGCGCACTCAAAGGACTCTAATCAAAATCAAAACACCACCAAGGAGCAGATTAAGTTTCCCATGTTGACTAAAACTGATACTCTTGATGATGAACCAGGTATCAACTAACAACTTAATTTTAATTTTTTAAATTTTAAAATTTAATTTTTTGATGTTTTAGTGAATCAAGAGCATTTTTATTTCTACATAATCCTTGGAATAGGATCAGGATTATTCCTGTGTTTTGTCATCCTGATGAGTCATTGTATCATACAATACTCCAGGAGAAACCAGGCGAAGTTTGCTGTCAACATGACGGACATTTCCGTAACGAATGATTTCGTTGACAATATCAGTGAAGTGGATGATGTTGACCTGCGTACTCCTCTACCAGGAATGACAGTACCAACGGTGACGATACACTCGCCAACGAGTCCATGCCCAACATCAATCGCCATGATGCATGTTACGCAAGCGTCTCAAACCGGAAGTGTGTATTATTATGGATGACCAGAGTGCCCGGGCGGCGGACGGTCGCCGGCGATGTCCCCCAGGTGTCCGGGCCAACGCACCTACTGTTTCTAATCAGCAGGAAACAATTGAACGCAAGAAATAAATCAAAACACATGTAATACTTTTTATTGCAAATGAAAAACACTCTGTATATAAATGGTCTGTTGAGGTGGGTGGTTGTTATTGAATGTGTGTGTAAATGAGGAGCAAATGATATCAGTGTTGTTTCTATAATGTTAGTGTTTATATAATAAAATGTTTCAAAATTTATTCCTCGTTTTGATACTACTGTGGCCATCTAGGGTGGTATTCTAGAAGACAAACAGATGTGGGAATAGAGACGCGTCGATTCGCTGCCGCCTTATCACCGCGAGTGATTTCTCCGCCCTGGTTTTACCGCGGTCTGTATTTGCAGCGCGTTGATTTGCTGTTACAATAACAAACAAGAGTGAACCATTGCTAGTTATCTGTTTGTTTGAAATCCAATAAAAATCGGGCTGGAATTATATTTTCTATGCTCACTTCCTGCGTTCCTAATATTGCACTTTGATGTGCAGCAATTTTTAAACAAAATTTTGTTGATGAAATCGAATGTAATTTATACATAAAAAATACTTTTTGATTTTAGGATCACAGAATGTGCAGTAGGCTGCTAAATTAATTATTTGAACTTACAGGAACACCCACTGGCGGCGCAATTTAGTTACTCATAGGCAGATGGCAATCGTGGGAGTTTTTAAATTAATTTTGGTACAATGTACGAGTACTACTGAGAATTGATTTTGCCCTTTTTGTGTTTCCTGGTCCGCTAATTTTTGTGGATTTTGGTGATTTCTGGGCGAACGCAATGTTGTAAGGCAACCATTGTTCCAATAAATTAAAGCAAGAAAAATTCTCCATAATATACGTATATAACTTTTGGGATTAACCCTCAGGAAACCCACAAAAAATTTCTTTTTGTTTTTCTCGATTGGCTAATTTTGTGGTTTTTGGAATTTTCCGGGCGAACCCAACGTCGTAGGACAACCATTCGCACAACAAATTAAAGGTAGAAAAATTCTGCATATTATGCTTATATAAATTGAAGGAATAACCCTTGGGAATCATACAAAAATGCCCTTTTTGGTTTTTCTTGATCGGCATATTTTGTGGTTTTTGGGATTTTCCGGTCCAACCCAACGACGTAGGCCAACCATAAGCCCACCAAATTAAAGATAGAGAAATTCTGCATTTTATGCGTACATAACTTGTTGGATTATCCCTCGGGAAACCCACAAAAATGCCCTTTTAATGTTTCTTGATCTGCTAATGTTCGGTATTTTCGACCAGAAATAAAACGCGAACAATTCAAATTTTGTCGAAATACCCGCGAAAATTTTCAGCCTCCTCAACATTCTGCGATCCGAATAACACCAACCGATTTTACAATTGGTTTTCGAGCTGAAATTAGACACGCACATACACACATGCGCTCGTTCACGAATGCAGTGTGTGTGTGTGGGTGTATGCGTGTATGCTCGCGTTTAATTTCGGGTCGAAAACTAATGGAAAAATTGGTTGGTGTTACTCGGATCCCAGAAAGTTGAAGAGGCTGAAAATTTTCGCGGGTATTTCGACATAAATTCAATTGTTCGCGATCAATTTCGGGTCGAAAATTACAAAAGTTTGCGGACCAGGAAACACAAAAAGGGCATTTATATGGATTTCCCGAGGGTTAATCCCACAAATTATATACGTATATTATGCAACATTTGAATACCTTTAATTTGGTGAGAGAATGGTTGCTCTACGACATCCCGTTCGCCCAGAAAATGCCAAAAACCACAAAAATTATCCAATATTAAAAACAAAAAGGGCATTTATATGGGTTTTCCGAGGGTTACTCCTTCATACTATATATGTATGTTATGCAGAAATTTAATACCTTTAATTTGGTGAGGGAGTGGTTACTCTACGACATCACGTTTGCCCAGAAAATGCCAAAAACCTCAAAATTTATCCTATTTTAAAAACAAAAAGGGCATTTATATGGTTTTCCCGTGGGTTAATCCCACAAATTATATACGTATGTTATGCAGAATTTAAGTACCTTTAATTTGGTAAGAGAATGGTTGCTCTACGTCATCACGTTTGCCCAGAAAATGCCAAAAACCACAAAAATTATCTAATTTTAATTACAAAAAGGGCATTTATAGGGGTTTTCCGAGGGTTAATCCCACAAATTATATACGTGTATTATGCAGAATTTTAATACCTTTAATTTGGTGAGCAAATGATAGGCCTACAACATTGCAAAATCCACAGAAATACTCTGTTTGTGTTTCTTTCCGCTAATTATTGATATTTTCGACCCGAAATTGAACGCGAACAATTCAAATTTTGTCGAAATAACCGCGAAAATTTTCAGCCTCCTCAACTTTCTGGGATCCGAATAACACCAACCAATTTTTCCATTAGTTTTCGACCCGAAATTAAACGCGAGCATACACGCATACACCCACACACACACACTGCATTCGTGAACGAGCGCATGTGTGTGTGTACGTGTCCAATTTCAGCTCGAAAACCAATTGTAAAATCGGTTGGTGTTATTCGGATCGCAGAATCTTGAGGAGGCTGAAAATTTTCGCGGGTATTTCGACAAAATTTGAATTGTTCGCGTTTAATTTCTAGTCGAAAATACCGAACATTAGCAGACCAAGAAACATTAAAAGGGCATTTTTGTGGGTTTCCCGAGGGTTAATCCAACAAGTTATGTACTCATAAAATGCAGAATTTCTCTACCTTTAATTTGATGGGCGAATGTTTGTCTTACGACGTTACGTTCGCCCGGAAAATCCCAAAAACCACAAAATTGCAGATCGAGAGAAACAAAAAAGGCATTTTTACGGGTTTCCCGAGGGACAATCCAACAAATTATGTACGCATAATATGCAGAATTTCTCTACCTTTAACTTGGCGAATCGTAGTCCTAGGACATTGGGTCCGCCCGAGAAGCATCAAAAAGCACAAAAATTAGCTGATCAAGAAACACAAAAAGGGCATTTTTTGGGGTTTCCTGAGGGTTAATCCCACAAGTTATACACGTGTATAATGAAAAATTTCAATACCTTTAATTTGGTGAAAGAATGGTTGCCTTATGACATCGGGTTCGCCTTCAAAATATCAAAAACCACAAAACTTTGCCAATCAAGAAAAAAACTAAGGTCATTTTAATAAGTTTTCCGGGGGGTTAATTCCTCAAATTAACTATCAGTGTTATATAGAATTTTAATACCTTCAATTTGATGGTAGAGTGGTTATCTTAGGACGTGGCGTTCGCCCGCAAAATGCCAGCAAAACCCTAAAACAAAAATGGCATTTTTATAGGTTTCCCGAGAAGCTAATCCTACAAATTGTATATGAATAAAAACAATTTTAAATTGATACTAGTAGACGTGTTTATTATATATATATATATATTTTTTTTTTAATAATGTACCTGCATTCCTGCAATCACCAAAGTCCTGCAACATCGAGAGCGGGTAGTATTACTTTGATTGGAGACCGCATGGACCTCCCCCTTGCATTAGTTGGTTTAAGTTCTGTCTCAGCGTTAATACACTCAAACCAGCAGTGTCATCTGTCTATGAGTAACTAAATACGCCGCCACTGGGTGTTACAGTAAGTTGAAATATTTAATTCAGCAGCCTACTGCACTTTCTGCGATCCTAATATTACAAAGTATTTTGTGTATAAATTTCATTGGATTTCTCAAGAAAATTTGTCGAGAAATTGCTTGCTGTTCATCAGTGTGTGGTATTAGGAACGCAGAAAGTGGGCATAGACAATAAAATTCCCTAGATTTTTGTTGGATTTCAATAGGTTGATTTTGGTTGCTTGACTGCATGAAAACATTGTTTTTGTTAAAATTGCAACCAATCAACGCGCGACAAATGTGCATCGCGGAGAATCAACGTTAGAGAAACCTCCCTCGGCGAGATAAACAACGACGAATCAGCAGCTGCAAAAATATTGATTTATTCACTTGTACGTTGATTCACAGATGGTTCAGAATAAAATATATTCAAAACTAATATGTAATAGGAAGTTTAAAGTTTTCTTTCCAACATATTTTCCAAACAACAAAATAATATACTCATGTTTTAATAATTTTTATTACATAAATTTTGCTATAACACAAACATTTTATAATATTGATATCAAGTTTTCATTATAAACCGAAAAAATTGCTTCATTTTCATTTTTTCATCTAATTAACAGAACTTTCAAGTTTAATATTATAAAACTCGCAACATTTATTTACATAATTTACATAAATAAAATCTCTTTGAAAATATACATGAACTTAAATTAGTTATTGCCAAGTGTGTGATATGCACAAAATGATTCTTTTACTTTTAGCTAAAAGCGTTTTCAAAAATTAAAATTGTAGATTTAGACATATGTGGCACGCGCAATATTTTCTCTTGTTTTGATAGTTAACAACAACTTACGCTAATATTTACAGCGGCTGTGTTTATATACAAAGTGTTTTGAAATGTTTCATTCAGTCTCACGGTTGTTATCAGTGTTTTGTGTCGCAAATTTCTATTTTTGATGGATTAACAGGATTATGAAGATTGACTTTGTGTGAATTTACATGTACATAAGATAGGCAACCATCAAAACTTTGGTAGTACTCAGTTGGAAGATCTGGAGGTAGTAATGGCGCTCCACCTAAAAAAATTATCATAAAAAAATAAATTTTTGTTATTTTTATGTTTTACCTAAGTAAAAATTAGATATTTTCCCAAAATCTTTTCCTTTTTCATTAAAAAACTCTTCATGAGGCGTTTCCTCATCAACTTGAATGAAACCAATGCCGTTTTTCCGGCGTACGTGCAACGTATGCCATTTGCCATCATTTACACTCGTCGCTGACCTAAAAATCAACTTCTAACTACTTTTCCCAAGATAATTATTTAATCCACAACCCTTACTTGATTGTATAGCTGCTGCCGCTGGCGTTGTCAAGATTAAAACTCAATTCCGGATATCCGGCGACGAGGGCGATTGAAAAATAGTCCTCGTCGTCGGCGCGCCATAAAAGCAGGCCGTCGGGGGTGGTGGTGCGCAACCTGAATTCGTAACGACTGCCACGTTCGCGCTTCACCCTCATACTATCCCCAACCCCATTCGGTGCCCTGTGAGTGTAACGAACAAAAAGTGTCAGCAGCTTTCCGAAAGCAGGATGCGATCGAAGATGATCTCGAACAGATCGGCGAAAAAGAATTTGTTAGCAGTTTGCAGTTTTAGGACTTTTAGGACAGGCAGCGTGAAACTTACCCGGACGGGTCGTAAAACTCCGCTTCGTTTTCGGTGCCATCATCATTTCCACCGGGTTGATTTACCTCGTCGCTGAGCTTTTTCGACTTGAACTTATCTTTTGATAAAATATTATCCTCAACGGATGATAATTCGTTGGATAAGTTATGACTGAAACAAATCACGATCGTCATTAGCATTTTTTTTATTTCTTGTATTTTAGGTTAATGTTCTCGTACCTATGATATGATGGATCACTATATGTCAGAAACATTCCTCCCGAAATTCTAATGGCTGGATTTTTATCTGTCACTAAAAAATAATTATGTAAATTTTATTGCAAGTTTTTTTATTTTATTTTAGGCTTGAGATGCTTACAAATGCCACAATTCCGACCCTCGTAACCATCTAGACAGTGACAAACGTAGTTATTAAGGTGGCTCGTGCATCTGCCGCCATTTTGACAAGGGTGGCCGCGTAAGGGACACGGCGGGCCGTCATAGACACCGATTTTATATACACATCCGGTTTTGGGATACTCAATTGTATTTGGAGTGCATTCAATTTTGGAGGTGTTGAGAGAAATATCATTAATTTTGATATTTTTGATAGCTCCTTTGAAACCGATAGCAACACCTGCCAACCGGTGAATGTCTGACCATTTTCTAGAAAGGAAATTATTTAAATAATAAGATATTTTTATTAAAATGTTTTGTAAGTAATTACCTCATTGATCCAATGAACAAAGGAAGTCCCAAATTCAACTCTGTCAAAGGTAGACCTGAATAACCTGTGAATATGGTACCATTGTCAAGTTGAAGGGTACCATCTCGTCCATTCCGAGTAATTTTGACTGAATACCAAGTATTTAAATTTATTACTTCTTTAGTCCTAAAATAACAAAATTTAAAATTTGTAGGTTAGAAAAAATTAATGGTTACTTACGTTATATTAGCAATACCACTTCCCAAATTAAACCGAAACTGTAGATGACCTCTAATCAATGATAAAGATACAAAATCCCCACGACCTGTTTTTAGTTGTCCATTATACAAAAGAAGACCATTTCTAACTTTACTTAAAAAGGTCATTGATATGTTGAAAGACCCACTGTTTGGTAAACTAGGATATTGCATATAGCTCACACCATCAAATTCTGGTATAAAATCATTGTTGATAATATCAATAGGTTTCTGTTGTAAAATTTGTGGTTTATAGTTATTGGAACATTCTTGAATATTTTCTGTGTGAATTATAGTATCATCGAAACCTTCATGGAGTTCAATATTTTTACGACCAATTTTGAGCTTTTTGATACATCCCTGAAGACCTTCTGTTATACCAATATTTTTATAGATTTTTGAATAAAATTCTGTATAGTGATTTGGTACACCTCCAAGGTAACCATCTTCATTTAGATCCAACGCTCTTAGTTTACCAGATGATTGTCCAGCAACGTTTTCACCATCATCAAGTTGAAGCATACCATCTCTGTGATATCGTTTTGCTACAACCCGATGAAATTCTCCTGGAGTTACTTTTTCTAATGAGGTTATTACAACAGGACCATCTCCTAAATTGTATCGGAACTCAACATAACCATTTCTAAGAGCCAATGAAACAAAATCGTTTTTTGGTCCCGCAAGCTCCAAAGATTGTTGATTGTAAAACAGGATACCATCTGGTGAAAAGGTTTTGAATTCTAGTTCAATACTCAGTTTATGATAGGCTTTCAGAGGTTTCATTCTGATGAAAGAATGTCCATCAAATGAAGGGACTTCATATTTCCTAACCTCTTCAGGTTTCTGAGGAATTTCAGAAATGATACATTCCTGTCTATCTGGTGATTCAGAGTATTCTGGTAAACAGGAACAAGCTCCCCGCACGCAATGGCTGTATACAATAGGGCAGTCAAAAGATTCTGAACACAGGTCACCCAAAAGAGCAGTAAACACCCTGACAGTTGCAGGTGTAGGTCTGAAGGCTTGTTTGGTATGACTATTCAAACCATTATCATATTTAGGATTTGGATATTTCTGTATATGTAATAAATGTCTTGTAGATTTTGACAGCGGAGAATTTGAATCATCAGATTGGGTAAACTGTAATGGCGTGTAGTGTTTAACAGGCCAATCAGTTCCAGAACCATATACTTCTGTGGGTTTACATTGACCAAATGTTTGGACCACAATGTCTTTCTGAAGTTTACATGCTATTTTTCTGAGTGTACAAGCATTTGGATATGTTTGACCATCGGATCCACATACTATTTGATTGGAATTATCTTCAGATGGTTCTGAACATTGAGCTTCCACTGGGCATTCACAGTAAACAAAATGGTTACGCTCCATGCAGACAGCTCCAAAGTGACAGGTTAGGTCTTTACATGAGGTTACAGGTTGTTTTGCTAAGTCTGGTGATATGCAACCACTTGAGGTGAGTAGTTTTGTGGTTGATGAACACTCTGTACACTTTTGACCTTGCACGCCTGGTTTGCATACACAACGGCCTGTCATTTGTTCACAGTCATCTCTTACTGATCCAAAAGTAGAACAACCACATGCTATAAATATAATAGTTTTACAGGTGCTTATATTTAGGAATTAGGTTTTAGGAATAAACTTACGAATGCACCCATGATGCCCTGAAGATATTTTTGGAAGACCCCAGTAACCTGGTTCACACCTATCACATTTTTCTCCTCCAACTCCAGGTCGGCATTTACAGGCATTGGTAACAGAATCACAAGCTTCTGAATAAGCTCCAAGTTTGTTACAGCCACACATTACAGGACAACCCAATTGCTCAGGACCTTGTGCTGGAGTCTTACCATCTGAGCAACATCCAAACCATGATGTCTCACAACTTTGTGAAAAAGTTTGATCTAGAAACAAATTATTTTATTCAACTTTTTACTTAAAAACAAACTACTCAGTACCTTTAAGACAACACCTGGCAAACCTAGTAGTCTGATGACAATAACTCCCTGAAGGACAATCCTGCCTATGTGGACCATTACCACAATCCAGTTCTTTCTCAGTAACATGATCCAAAAGTGGTTTATCACCATTACAAGGTTTAACCTCCATTCCCTGACAAAGATCCAAGGGTCTTAACCTTAATTCAGATTGACTTTGGCAAGCCTCCGCTTTCATAGCGCAGAGTGACGGGTAGATCCTCATGTTGGAAGCACACACAGGTTTCAGATCTACTTCAGGACTGGAAGAACAATTAAATTGGCAAATGCAACGTGGGAAATTATCCGTGCCAAGTTCACAGGTTGCTTCGTAATCACACTGTATATCTTTACAACCATCTGTTGGACTTGGGCTGGGGTCAGGTATAACAGAAACATAAGTCCGGAAGATATTTCAAAGGTTTGACCTGTTTGACCATTAGATAAAACCATTGTAGAAGAATCTGTTGCTAAAATATTAAAATAATAATAATTATTATTATCTAAGGGTTCAGGGTTTATGGAGTAATCTTACTAAATGTGCCAGGTACTGGAAATCTCTCTCTGCAATCCCCGTAGAACAAAACTGTCAGCCGCTGATCGCTTTGGAGCGAAGATCTTGATGAGGGTTGTAATGTTGTGGGTTGTTGACATGCGGCTTGCTGAAGTTCACATTCATTTCGAAACGTGGTAAGATTGGAAGCACACACCGGTTCCTCACCGGCCGTATCGCACCTTGTAGGACAGACGCACTCGCCCGCCTCGCAACGCCCGCCATGTTTGCATTCCACTCCCGAGCAGAGATCTGCAATTAGCGCAATTTCGGCAATTACCACACGCGGCATGCGGAATCCGCTATGTCAATGAGCTTAGAATTTGGTGAATTGCCCGCCTGAGAATTCAGTCAATGCGACTAGTTAACTGTTGGGCTTCCCACACCCAAAACCCCAAAAGTTCACCGTCCCCAAAAACCGCCCGCCCTTGATATTTACCAGAAAGTGGCGGAGAAGTAAACGGAAGCACAGGTAATAGGGATGTAATTCGAAGGTAATAGGGTGGTGCGTTTAGGAGGAGGAGAAACAACCCTCTCGCGTACTCACCACAATCGCCTTTGTAAGCGACCATTATGTTTTGCTCTGCTCCGCAGGCGGCGATGCGTAGCGCGCATTCATTCGCGTAGGTGGCACCGTTTGATCCGCATACTGTCTCGTTACCCCGCAGCTGTTCAAAGTTTAAGGATGGTTGATAACAAATCAAATACAATTAACTACATTTACGCCGGGGAATTTCAATTACCTTGAGATCTTCAAATAGGTCACATGATTCTGGACAAACACATTTTGCACTTCCTTCAACCCCTTCGGCGTTATTTTGGCACACTGAGTAAAAATCACATTGTTTCTGAAGACATTCATCTGAAAATTTAAAAAATAAAAAAATTTTTCTAAAAAATAAATTTTAAAAGTGTACTTACCGCAAATTCCAATGTAATTTATAGTTAAATCAGTTTTTGATAAACATCCCTCGCGTTTAAGAAGACACTCGTTAACATAAGTCACGCCATCGTTGCCGCACACGGGTTCAAAAACTTCGGAGCACTTTGGACACTCGCAGTGAATGTCTTCGCCGCGCACTATACATACTGCACCATGACGACACCCCCCGCCACCCTTGTTACACGGGTTGGCATTTCCGCATACACCCACATAGTCCACTTCCAATTTCACACGCGCCAAACACCCCTCTCGGAGCATGTCACATTCCGAGCCGTAAGTCCTTCCGTCTTTTGAACAAACCGGTTTTAAAATAGGAGGACATTGCGAAGGACATTCACATCGCGCTATTCCAAATTTGTCAATTGTACAGGACTCTCCAAGTGTGCATTTTACACTTGCACATGGGTTAATACCTGTAATATAATTTTTTTTATAAAAATGCATTTTTTTTAATTTAAAAAAATTTAATTACCTGAACTGCATTTTCCTCTATAAACAACACCAAGATTTTTACCCTGGCGACAAGATTCCTGCCGCAAGGAACACTCATTGACGTAGGTCCTGCCGTCGGTTCCACAGACAGGGTCGAAATCCTTTGGACAATTTTCATCGCATCGACACGCTGGATGACGACGCTCGTCCAGTTGGCAGATGGCCGGCGGAGCGCAAGCCACCCCATCACAGGGATCTTTACTCGAACAAGAAAACGCAAAGAAGAAAATGAGCACAAGGAAAATTTACTTTTATCGCACGCCATGCGGAAATAAACGTCTGAGTCGGGCGCATCCCAAAAAAGAATCCTCAACCCTTGGTTAATCCAGGACATGCAGCCGGCTAGTTCCTAACTTCTAATTCTTTCGTTTTAATCGCCTTAATCTTTAATCCTCGCTTTTTTCTTTAATTCGTAATTCCTTAAAAAGCTCGAAAGCTCTCCAAGGATAACCGATGAAAATGCCAGCGCTTGATAAAAATCAAGATTAAATTCTTGCGGAGACGAGTTTAATTAATGTTTCAAATTTCTTCGCAAAAAGTCCTTAAATACTCACCGCATTTCCCCGAAAATCTGACAGTAATGTTGACTCCAGCATGACAAGCAGCTCGACGTAATTCACACTGATTATCATAGTCCTGTCCGTCGGAACCACAAACAGGACGTGATCCTGCATGATCACCGTAATTAGGGCATTTTGTCGGACATTGACAGGTGCTATTTTTCCCATCTGTGGTTGGCACACATCGTCCTCCATAAGGACAATGTTTATCTTTACAAGGATCGTTTTGTCCTTTAAACAAATAAAGATTTTTGAGGTAATATTTCATTTTGTATCCTTGAGGATAACATGGAGGGCACGCACGCTTGGAAATTAATAGAAAGCAATCAGGAAGGCATTCCCCTGCAGGGTAGTAAAATAAATAAGCGGGAAGCAACATCCAACATCCACCAGCCAACAATTGAGCGGAAGTCGGAAGCACGCGCCCCGGAAGACAAAAACAAGACGAAGGGTGCACACAGAAAAAAGCGGAGAGCGGCGAAGAGTTTTCGAAAGTCGAGAGGATCTTCGCGACGCGATTGTATTGCGTTCGTTCTCACGTGATCGGACTAATAATTTTACGCGATTTACGAGCGCGAGCGCAAAAAACGCGCCCACGGCGCTCGGAATCATATTTCCGCAATAAAAGCCACTCGGAATGAAAACCCGCAGAAAACGAACACAATGCGTCTAATCAATTTTCGATATGAGTGCGGAATTCAAGAAAAAATGGGTTTTGTACAATATGTTTAGAAATTAAATTTTTTAAGAAAAATTAAAAAAAAATAAAAAAAAAATATTTTACTGCCTAGGCAGTAGTAAATCATAAACATGTCTTACCACATTTCCCATCATGAACAACGCGTACATTGAGACGAGCCCGACACGCAGCCATACGCAGGTGACAATGACTCTCGTACGTGCGCCCATCACCCCCGCATACCGGCTGCTCAGCGTGGGGGCGGCAGTGCGTCGGGCATTGGCAGCGCGCCGATCCGTCCGCGCCCGTCACGCACTGTGCGCCCCACGCGCAGAAAGTCTTCTCGCATGGCTCTGCAAGGAAAAAAAACAGAAAGCGAAGTTGAGTTTTCGCATTAAATTCAAATCACATTAAGCGAAATGAATGAATTGCATGTGTGCCCGGAACGACCGCCGCGCAGAAAAAAACCGGGGCGCTCCTTTCGCGGGCATTCAGCCGAGATGGAATGCGTTCGAATGTGCCTTTCTCGAGAGCTTTTAGAAGCTTTTCGAACGTAATGTGTGCGCAATAAATGTGCTTTTTATGGCCGGCCTGCAAATGGATTGAATTTTGTGTTATTGAACGACCTCCACCCACTCAGGTTTTTGTTTGGAAAAATTGATATTACTCCCATGGGGAATAACATAAAAAAATCAAATAAATTACAGGTAATTGAGGATTAACGCGGGTTTTATTTTGTTTTTGATTGAAATTATTAACTTTTTAATTGTAGAGTAATTATGATTTAAAGGAAAAATTTATTTTCAATTTTTATAAGCATTTAGAAAAAATAAAATTAAAATTAAAATAAATACAAAAATAATTTATAAAATTTTTGTTGTAATAAATAAATAGTTAATAATTAATATTTAATACCATTTAAATAATAAACTATTAATTTTAAGTATTAAATTTTATTGTAATATTAATTTGAAAAAGAAAATTCGAAAATTTTCTCTCCCACTTTAAATATTTAAAATTCTTCTAACTGAATCCTTTCTAAAAGCTAAACCCTCCCAACACTCAATTATCATACATATTATATTTTGCTCAGCATCAAATTTCAATACAAAAATCACAAAAATTTAAATATTTCCCAACCGCCTTTTGCACTCCTTGCGATCCGCTACCTTTGCCGAAAGCTCCACTTCAAAACAAAACAACAGATGCGCATTAAGCAGCCAGTTTCTACGCGATGCCTCGAGAGCCGGCGCGCAATCTGAAAGGCAAATGTTTGCCGCCGGCGGCAGGCGTGTTTTTCATTCAGATACAAATGTTTTTCCCGGCGCTTTCGTTCGCGTCGCGACGCGTCGTTCAATTCGTAACGGTCGTAACATTATTACGTAATAATTTCGCGCGCTCGACGATCAAACGTACAATAAAGTCGTAAACATTTTCGGCTGCGAAACGCGCCGCATTAACGTGGAACGACACAACGAGGGGCGGTGTAATAGTCACCGGTGCTAAAGTGAAATGTTTCACAAAAAGAGCGCAGTTGGAATGCTGAACACGCAAAATTATATCTCAAGTTTGTGAATTGATTTTTTTTATTAGTTTGAATAAAGATTGTGAGTTTCACGGGCTGTAATTTGCAAAGTAGTAAAGATAAAAAATTTAAGGAGGCAGTTCCTTAAAGAGAATTTAATTGAGTATAAATTTTACTTAAAATGTTTTTTGGTAAACCAATTTTTTAGGAAAAAATCAAAAATATTAAGAAAAAAGTACAAAAATTTTATTTTTATTTTTCTAAAAAAAGGTGTGTAAATAAAACGTGAAACTTTGCAGCTAATTAAAACCTGCATCTCGCAAAAAACGTCAATCCTAAAAGCTCGACATAAACTCCATCCCCTATAAAGGCAGCAAATGATCAAAGGCATTTAATTATGCACAGCATTAATACACGCACGCCGGGACGTAACTCATTTCGCAATCTGGGGACGCGCGCGCGCCAGCAATAAGTTGCATGCCCGCAACGTCGCCGCCACCACTGCCACCACTGCCGCCCTCGACGTGCGTGCAATATGCCGTAATTTAGTGTCGCGGTGCACTCGCCCGCCGCGTGCATGCATGTCGGCCGGCGATAATTTCGCAACGTGCAGGGCTTTAAGCTTCGGGCTTCGGGCTTCGATATTTTGAGCTTCGAGCTACGAGCATAATTAAAAGCAAGCGCACTATAATGCGATTCAACTTGCAATATTGTGTGCGCCCGGCGCCTCCACAATATACAACATTAGCGAACGCGTTGCTATCGACGGGCGCTCGTAATGAAACTCGCAATTGCACGAAAAGTAATTATCGGAAAAATATGTTCAAAAAAGCATCAGAGGGATGATTTAATTAGCTATAAAGTTTTTAGAAGTATTTTGTAAAGCATACAGAATTTTATGTTTCAGAAGTGTTTTTTTTCTGATTAATCTATGAATTTATTTGATACTAATATTTAAAAATATAAATTTTATGTTTCTTTCTATTTTTTAAACTTTTTCGTATCACAAAAACTAAATATTTGCTATTAATAAAATTGTTATAATAAAACATGTTGTTAATTAGGTAAATTAGGTAGTTAAATTTTATTTGCTGTTTTATTATGATTAATTTTGTAATTTTTGCATTCATTACCTAAAGTATAAAATAAATTACTATATTTTTTCTGAATGTATTAACTAAAAGTTAATTCCTCTTTTAATTTTCTGTAAAAATGATTTCAAATGACTTCTCTATCTTAATTAGTTCCTGAGCTGAGCATTTTGCAACATGCAAAATATCCGCATGTAAAATTTACACCCCCTGACACGTTTTCGCGCTGAAAATTTTATCCCCTCAGTCGGTGGGTGTGCATGCGATCCGTATTCAGCGTATTCGGTATTCAGTATTCAGGTGCGCTCGCGTCATCGATCGCGCGCCTCCGACACGATTCTGCTCTTAAGTTGCGCTCGCGCGCCGCGAGATCTTCCGGTTTGCCGGCTTTCCGTTTTTCGCTAGATGCGCGCGGGCGATAAGCGCGCCCGCGAGCCGTATATCGGCACACACGGCAAACATGTACGCGCGATTAATGTTTGCGCAAATGCCGCTGGAAACTTTCGCGGCGAGACGATTTTAATTTCAGTTTTGTTATCGTCATCGCGCCGCGCCGAGTCGGGGATAAATGACGAAGCGCGAAGCACGAGCCTGAAAGCTGGATGTGCAAAGCGTATATCATCATCAACATAAATATCTGCACGTTTTTACAGTGCTTTTAACGTGGAAATTGTGTCACGCGAGCGAGCAACTGAAAGCTTCAACTTGAGCGGACGAATTGTTGATGGGGGATTATGCGCGCTAACGCGGAAACTAAAAGTTTTACAGAGAATTTATTTTAGTGAATGTTTTAAACAATTTAATTATCTTGTTGGATTTTGTTTGCATAGGTTTTTATATTGTTTAGTTTTTGAGTAACGTTTAATTTTACAAAGTAAAATTTTTCAACAAATTTTTTGTTTTTTAATTTTTAAAATTTTAATTTTTAATTTTTTTAAACAAAATATTTATAACAAAAAAATAAAATTTCATAGTCCTCTTAAAAAAGTCATAATAAATAGTCAATTTTAATTAAATATAAATTAATATTCTATTTAAAAAAGTAGTTTAAATTATTTTTAATATTACTTACAGATTAAATCACTCATAACTCATTAACAAAAAATATTTAAAATTGAAACAAATAAATTTTAATGTAGAATTTAATAATAAACAAGTTTTACTAAAATAATTTTCTCCTATTTTTGCTAATTTGCCCTCAACCATCATAAAACCATCTCAAAAATCACACCGGATTGTTCCAGGTGAAAAAGCACCCCCATTGATCATTTTCCACCGGAATTGTAAAACCTCTTGTTGCGTAAAACTGAATTCAGCCCCGTCGCAATCCGATTAATCGGTACGTAACTTAATTGAGCGTAACACGATACGGTGCGCTCGCATGTTGAATCCGGTAAATTCACGGAATCCTCAGTTTGCCCACTCGCTGTTCTATTTTAGTTTTTTTCCGGTTTCCACTGAGGTGCGCGCGCATGCTCTCGACGAATTTAAACTAATTTCGATCCGGGCAATTACGTTACTCGCAAACGGTCAGCAAAATAAATAGGAGATGAACTTTTCTCTGCGCGATCCCAAGAGATGCATTATTATTGATTAAAGTCGCTCGGTGTTATTAAAAAACACGTGGTAAGGCGGTGACTTGGCGCGCATAAAGTAACTTCGTGTGGGAATTCAACTCACCAGAGTATTACTCTCACAGAACGAAATTTATGAAAATTGCAAATTCCTAGGAGAAATTTTCACAAAACACATAATATATAAATAAAACACTTGGTTTATCGACATTGTGAAGGGTTTTCTGAAACACTCTGTATGCGAAAAAATAAACATCCCATTTCCACCTTGGTGCACGCGCGTAGAGAAGCTGATATAAAGTTATGAGCGACAAAATTACATGTCACGTCAACTTCGCGCCTCTCAACGGTGCGATGCTATTTATTATCGTGCTATCCTGCCGAAAGTGACGCGACAGGGACTCAAGGACTCACCTTCAACGTACGATTGTCTTGGCTTGTAGGCAACGTCTGGAACAAAACGACAGGGTTTAAATTTTAACTTAAACACAAACTTTCACAAGATGTTTTGAATTTTTTTTACAAAAAACAGGATAACTTTAAGGATAACGTAAATTATCCTATTTTTTATATAAATATAAATAAAGTATAATTTTATTATATTTATAAGTTTGTTTTGTTTGGTTTAATCAAAGGATTAGTATTTTGCCCGGCGCATCCACTGTATGCTAGACAATGTAAATTTAAATATAAATATTTTTTTGCAAAAACAATGTTTTTAACTGCAGTAAACAAATAAATTGCATTTTGATTGTGAATCTTGATGAGCGTGAAAGTCATTAGTAGCTGGCGCAAACAAAATAATAGAAAATTACGATTTTCTAGCGTAAACGCGCTCGCAATTAATTTAATTGCATTTTATCGTCCTCAATCCTCGTTGTTTTTATCGTCCTAGTCGCGGTGTGTTTACCCTCTATGGCATGCATCCACGTAGCCCGTTTGCACCCCGCCATCCTTGTTGTGTCCTTTATAGTCGTTTCGTCCTTTTTATTTCCGCATGTAAATTTCGTTTTACGTAAATTTTATTCAAACGCTTCGTACGTTCGCAACATGCGCGTAGTGTTGCATGCATTTAACATGAGCCGCCACCCCCGACCACCACAACCCACCCTCGACTCGTGCAGGACTCTCAGGAGTGTTGCGGCGCGCGCGTGGTCGGAATGAAACAATGATACTTCCAGTCTAAAGGCGAAATTTCAACCCCCCTGCACTGCCGCACTCCACTTCACCTCCGGTCTGTGAGCAGCGACGCGGTTAAGATATTCACGATGCAATATTAAAACGCGCATTAAAAGTCCACATACGGCACGCTGTCCGGGGAATGGCCGGCGTCCTGTTTGGGGAAAACAAGCCGTAAACGAGCGCCGGAGTGAATTTGCGCGCGCGGAATGAAAGTTGCATCCTCAAAGGATTCGACGCCCGACGCCGTCCACGACGAGGAGGACTCAGTCGCAATGCGGTCGACGGGGGTGAAATTTCCGAGCGGCCGTTAAGAGGACAAAGGGTAAACGCCGCAAACGTCACAAATGTCACAAGCGTTTAACAATTTGCCTCGACAAAACGTTTAACATCAAAATTTAATTTTTTTGCCTTCAAAGTTTTGCCAACTGTGAAATTACATTAAGCATCACTTGTAGAGCTAGTGCTAATTATAAAAATTTTTGGTAAAAACTTATAAATAAATATTATATAAAAAGAAAAAAATATTTAAAAAATTTTACAAAATGCGATTGTGATGATTTCCCGGCGCCTCCACTGTATTAAAACCTATGTTAAATTATCTAACATTTCAATAATTCAAATTTTTAAATAAAAACACAAAGAAAACTCTGTTTTTATTAAAAATTTATAAAATAATTCACATAATATTCTTTGTGTATCATTAATAACAAACTAATTAAAGCGGTGTAAAGTTTAACCACATTTTGAAATTGATAAACTTAACATGATAAACTAACCTCTAATTTAACAGCATTCCGATGCGCCAAACTCAACACTTGAAGACGAACTTGATTGCAGAAGATGCTACTAGATAATATTGCCCGGCGCCTCCACCAAAATATTACCTACTCTCAAAGTATGAAATTAACGAGCTAACTTGTTGAAGTCGTAAGTAGGCGCCGGGACGCCGCCGCGCGGCTCTGAAGTGGAAGTTAAGGATGAAGCCCGAAGAGGCTTGTAGAGAAGTCGCTAACGCTAATGTCGGGCGTCGAGGATGCGCGCCGGATAACTCGCGTCGAGTGCAAACGAATTTTAAACACACCGCATCACCGCTATTAAAATGTAAATTTTGTTTTAACATACCAAACGTCGACTTCACTCCTCACAAGGACCTTTACAAGGACTACTTAAATATTTTATAATAAACTTTCTTTTAATTATTTAAAATTTCAATTTTTTTTTTCAAAACAAAGATAATGATATTCTGTAGTACTTACAATTGATGTAGAGTAAAACACCAGACACAAAAACAAACACGATGATGAGCAGGACAAGCGTGAGCAGGAGGACAATGGGCCGACAGCACGTCATCCACCCCTCGGAGTTGGTGGTGGTGGCGGCGGGTGTGTTCGCCGGACAATGGCGTTGATCCACCACGACTGCCGCACCCCCCGCGTTCACCACCATTCCACGTCCGGCATTCCCATGAAAGTTGGCATTAGCAAAGCCGTGGTCATCGTCGTCGTCCGGTTCGTCCTGCTGGTAGACGCCGTAGGAGGCAACGACGCCCGCCATCCCCTGATTGCCGTTGTGTCTCATCTGCACACTATTGCACAATCCGTTGGCTTTAACCACGCCATCTGCCGGCAATGTAGGTGAATGATGGTACGTGGCGCCCTCTAGTGTCGAGTAGCTCTTGTACGCTGCGTGGTAGGCGTTCCCATCTGGAGTACTACCGCGCATTGCGCTCGCTGTCGATTGTGAAGCATCTGATGTTATTGACAATCCTGTAAATACAACACGATTAATTATTATTATCCGGGAATATACTAAGTCACTGATGGGATTCATGGGAAAATCGATAATTCTAGAATGTTTGTCGTGTTTTTGGCCGGCTGCGTGTGACAGGACGCGACATTGTCGCGCACTTTCCGGCCTGCGAATGTCAGCGAACTATTAATGTTAATGTTGATAGATGCTGCGCCTCATTAGCGACACTCCCGGCTCATTAACTCAGCGTCAGCTCCGCGTATCTGCGCACGTAACCCTCATGCTTTGACGCACGAAAACATTTAGTCAAGACTGGCACATACGGTGTGCATTATCCTGGGGGTGGTTTACGTGTAACCTTAAAATTAACTTTTTGAAGGGACTAATTACATGCCTTAGCATTTAGTAGCGTTTAGTAAAGAATTACAGAGGGGTGAAGAAACAAAAAGGAAACAAAAAAGTAAAATTTAGGTTTAAATGATGGTTTATTGTTGTTTATGTTGGTTTAGTATTGGGTTGTGATAGTGTTGTTGTTAATAATTGAATTATTGTTGGTCTGGTGTTGATAGACAATGTGGACTATTAGGGAAACTATCATGATAATATCTAATATCATATATTTATATGAGTTTGTTTGTTTGTGTCGTTTTATCGCAAAAACCATTGGATTAATTTTAGTAAAATTTGGTATAAAGATATTTCTGATTAGGGAAAAGGTAATAGACATGTTATTTTAGGAAAAAATTAATTTACCGGGTGTAAAATAAGAGATGAAATAAATTTTTATGAATTTTTGTAATTGATTGATAATAAACTTGACATTAGTATTAGTATTAGTATTTAAATTGTAATTAAAACAAAATAAACTACAACAACATACTCAAATCATGTTAATATAAATTATATTTAGTGTTTGTGATAAAATAATTAAAATTACTAAAATTATTTGATGGGATAAAAATAAAATAATAAAAAAATCACAAAATTATTTACAATTTTAACTACAAATTAAAAAGTTCAAAGTATAACCTAAAAAACTATTAAATAAGTTGATAAATATAGTATTACTATTAAAAATAATTAAATATTTGTATATTTAGTAATGATGTTGATGAATTTATATTCAAACGTTTAAATAAATTATTTGCAATAATATTGCTTTTTCAGTAATTCAAAGTATCAAATTTCAATTACTTGCTGGTTTCAAGCCGTAAAACTTCAATTTTAGTCGAATTAAACTTGTATTACGATAAATCCTTGTTTAGAATTGTTTATATCTCTATAAAAGCTTTCAATCATTGAAAATTGATGCAGTCGCCATAAAATCTTTCGAGTTGCCAGTCGATTTACGTCGACAAAGCGAAAATTGCACGAGATGCAGCCGCACATGCAAAATACAAGATGCAAGACATAAAAATGCCCTAACCGTGAGGGCGGCCATTAAATTTTTTAATTTACGATCCGAATCAACAAATTAGCCATAAAATGTGTGCTTCTTACGCACGCAGTCTTTTACGACCTTGTTTATCGTCTCACTGCGTTTGATTTATAAGACAATTTTTATTCGTTTATAAATGACATTTTTTAGTTTTACTTTCCACTAAAATTTATATTTAGAAATAAATTCAAACAAGATTAATATTTTTTCTGTCTCTCTGTGTGTGTGTATGTTTAAGGATAAATTTTAAGCAAAACGTTTGCCCTCTCCGATTCGATTTCCTTATCGCGGAGCGGAAAACGCAGGTCTTTCCCATTTTATCGGTAATATCCGCCGAACGAGTACACAAAAGTCCCACGCGCCCGCCGAGGCGAAATAAAACAGCGTCGCGACGTTATCTCGCCGTCTTCCGAATCCATTACCGCTCGAAAATCCGTTTCGTCCTGCGTATGCAAATGCGCGCCAGGTTCAGTGCGCTTCGTCTTTGCGAGTAAATTGCACGTGTGGAATATGCGGCAAACGCGCCACATATTGCTCGGATAACGCCGGCGTTCTATCCGCGAGCATCTCCAATACAGGAAGCAATTATGTATCACGTCGGCGCATCAGAATGAGCGCAAAAAGAACGTGGGTGCAAAAAGTTAATGTTTTTGCGCGCGCACGGCAAGCGCTATGTTTTGCATAAGTTTAGAGCGATATTATGCCCGAAGTAAATAAGATTCAAGGATAACATTGGGAACGATCGATAGCAAATGGAACCTAGATTGGAAATTGGTTAAAATATTTATTTTGCGAATTGTGGAATCATTCAAAAATTGAAAAACAAAAATGAAATATTTTGAAAAATTTTTTTCTTTTAAATTTGATTGGAAAAATTAAAAATTTAAATATTACAAGGTTTTTGTATGCTAAAAAACAGTTTTTTTAATTAAATTTTTGACCAAATTGCAAATTTAGCAAAGATTTATGAATTTTTATATTTTTTAACATTTTTGATGTAAATATTTTAGCTTTTACATAAATAAATCAAAACATGTTCCACATTAGATAATAAAAATTTTATCTTCCTTAAAAATTCAAATAGAATATTCTCCAACTAAAAGCTTTTTTAAAGAATGTCTCAAATCAGTAGCAAGCTTGAAATCTCGCGAATGCACGAACGAGACATCGACTAAACATCTCATCACCATCGGCGCCCTCAAATCTTATCCAATTAATCTTAACGAGCACTTGAATCCACTCATCGACATCGACTGAGCGCCTCTTGAACCGCTCCAAACCTCAGGCCCTTCAAACTTCTCTCTCCCACAACATATCGTTCTCTATTCAAACACACACACACCACACATGAGTTTGTTCGATAAACTTGGAAAATTCTCGGCCGTATAATACACACTGGCATCTATTAACATAACCTCCGCTTCAAAGACTAATCATTCCCTCCGCAGTAAAGTAGAGTTGTTTGCGGGCGCGCTGTTTTCGATAATTAACTATTTCATTGCGATCGATTGTTTGCTTCCGCCGGCGGCGCACACTCGGCGCGGTAATTAACGCTTTGCTGGCGGCGGTGGCGGCAATGCTCGAGGGCCGGAAGCGTGTAAATATGTAACTCGATTTAATCCGTCATCGGCAGACCGCGCCGATATCGTTTTGATCAAGTGATCACAAGTTATCGCATGCCAGCGCGCTTGATTACCTACGCATGTGTGGAGGCGCCGGGCACACGCATATCAATATGTGCTCAAAATAAATACCAAATATAAAGTTGAAAATATAAAATAAATATGAGTGAAATTTGTGGCTGCAATCGGTTTCCACTTCTGGCGGCGACAGTCGGGGCGCGCTGTTGGTTGACAAGCACGCCGAGGACGAAATTAGTTTTGCGTTCGGCGAGAAGGCAAACAAGTCACTCGCAGATTTCCGTCCCGTACTAGTTGGCAAACTACACTCGCCGACATCTGCACACATTTGTCGCGACGAATTCAATACTGTATCAAAATGCAATATTCCAAATCGGAAAGTTATTTGTAAACTTGAAATATTAATTAAACTATTAAAGAAGTTCTTAAAAAAACATAAAAATTAAATTTAAGTTATCCTAGAATCAAATTAATATAATAAAAATAAAATTGTAATGTTGACAGTGATTTTAATTAAATAAAACATTTTTTAACTTTCTGCGGTGTGTCTCAGTAACATTTGACTGTTTTTTCCTTGCAAGACTTTCCTTTTTGTGCTTTTCTTACGTTGGCGTCCAAGTCATGTAACTCTTGTAAAAGTTGTAATTTTTGGCCCTGCCCGAACTTATTAAAAACTTGGTAATAAATGGGTCGCCGTGTTGCGCGCTTTGTTTCGTCTCGAAATTAAATTTTCCTGCGAACAAAGTAATTTCGGCCGCTAAAGCAACCTGTCCGGCGGGCGCCGTCGCGACTTGTGACTGAAAACACCCGACGACGAAAAACAATACTCGATGGTCGGAAAGGAGACGCGTCGTCGTAATTCATGTCGACAGGACAAAAATCGTCCGCGAAAAACGTCCAAAGTTTTAATTTAATTTTCGCCGTTACAAGTTACAAGTTGAATACGTGCGCGCATACTTTCCGAAACGCTTTGGCGCTTGTTTAAATTGACAAGAAAATTAATTAAAGAGTTTTTTCGATTTTTGCGTAAAAATTAATTATGACACGAAATTATGGTAAAGTTCCAACAAAATTGACAGTAATCTAATTATTATTTCATCGTTAAACCAAAAAAAATTTAAAAGTAAAAAATTATTTTGTTTTAAATTAAATAACAAGGTTTAAATAGGGTGGAGGCGCCGGGCACACACGTAAATTCACTATTAAAGATTTTTAAAAAGCTTGTCTACACAAAAGAAAGTGTTTCACGTTGTTTTCCACAGTGAGCACGGTGTAACTCCTTGTTCGTTGTTCGTCCTGATGTTTTTCGCGCACTTTATTTCCTATTTTCCAGCCAGACGGTAATGGATTAAAGCTATTGTTCTACGTCTAGTCCTCGCGCGTTCTTAGTTATAACATTACATTACTCTCGTGCTTCAACCCATACCGCTGCCCCTCGCCGGCGGTGCTTTTCGCGTGCGTCGGGATAATTATTCAACTCGTACGTCAAGTCCGACGCGGGCGTATAACATGCACCGAGTTTTCCCGCTTTTCTTCCCGCGATCCTTTGTGAAGAGCTTCACGTTCGATGTGTTTTCATCCTGTACGCATACTTCCCCTTCACCGCGTTTGGAAAAAAATTCGACGGTGGTTTATGTTGATTTGCAGGGCGCGAAATCCTTGATTTACTAACACGGTTTATTAGCCGCGAGAAAAATTGAGATTTCACGCTTGGCCGCGCGGCGAACTTTGCGTTTCTATTATCCTCGGAGAGCGCTCCAACCCTCCGCCGCCCCCCTGCGCCATTATCCGATGATAAATGTCATCACTTTGTAAAATTTGTAACGTTCGCTCGCCCGCCTCCGGCACCCTCATCTTTCATCGAGTTTTCGTCCTTTCTTGCAATCGTCCTTTTCGTCCTTTTGAAAGCGTCTTCATTGATTTCAATTCCGCCATTTATCAGGAGTGTATAAAAATATTAACACCTTAATTTACAAATAGTACGACAAGTTATCCTGTGAAATACTTTTAAAAATAATTTATTTGATTTTTGCTTAGTGGTAACTTGTTTTGTGTTTTAAGTTATCCAAGGAAGAATTTTGTTTGTTACGATTTTGATAGCAGAGGATAACAAGATGGTAGCACCACCGCTGCCAGGACGACTTGCATAAAAGTTGAATGCTTTTTAGAATGGAAAACTTTCGGCATCGTTTACACCGAAAACTGTCCAAACTTCTGTCCAACTTCCGACAAAGTGTCCTGTCGCGCAATCTCCACCGCCTCCACAGCCACCGCCAAAAAATATCTAAATAACTTCGGAAAAGTGTCAAATTCACACAAATTGATAAGTTTGCCTCGTCTTTTTGTTTCTAACTTTTCACAATTCTATTTGCAAAGCTTTTTCAAAATATAAAAACAGAAAACATAAACTTACCTTATTAAATATTTGTATTACACTAAAGATTATTTAACTATCACTAAATTTTTTAATATTTAATTAGTTTTTGTGTGTAATCCTGGAACTTTATAAAAATTGCTTTGGGAAACTTTTAAGCCAGTTAGCAAAATTCGCGTGAACGTTACACCGGCGCGTTCTCGGATCGAACGTTACCGCTCGCTGTGGCGGTCGGCGGTCGACTGACGGAGGCGGCAGTGGAAACAGCGGAGGCGGCAATGCGCTGTTCAAGTCAAAAACATGAACACAAAATGTAACGTTAACCTGAACATTACTCAACATAAAAATAACTAAAGCAAATAAAGTTAATATTTATTTTAAACAAAATTTTATAAAAATGAATATTTTATTATTTATTTATTGTTAAATCATTTTTAAAACAATGTAAATATTTAACAAAAATATATTTTTATATGATTTTAAGCTTTTATAGTATAAAACATGTTTAAATTAACATTTTAATAATTTTTATATTGTGGAGGCGCTGGGCTAACATGTAAAATAGCATATAATATAAAAAAGTATAAAATTTTCTAAGAAAACATTTGCATTTACTTTATCTTATATATATATTCATAGTTTTCCGCCGCTTGTCATCTCGCTGGTCAATTTTGCGAAAGTTTCATCTTCATTTATTAAACTCGTTACGCGTCGCTGTCAATAACCATGCGCTGGCACATCCTCCATGCCGGGAAATGGAAAAGCGCGCGCCCCAAAGAAAAACAAAACGCTGCCAACGCAGACAAGGCGTATGCGAGGCAGGCAAAGCAGGCAAAGGTAATGAAGTTACGAGGCGATAGAACCGGAAGTCATCGGCAAAACAACGCAAAAAGCAACCAAAAGCCCAAAAGAACAAAATATATAATCATAATCAAATTTTAAGGTTATCTTTGGTTGAAAATTGCAACAAATTTTCATTTTGTTTATGTTTGATGATATTTTAATGAACATTTGCGTTAAATTTATTTCAAAGCACGAGGAAAAAATGCCTGCACCGGAAATGTAAACGCAGGGCAAGTTAAAGCGGCTTAATTTCCTGCCGCAGGACGCCAAAAACAGGAACGTCTTCCTGAATTATTAATCCGCGCGTCCTGTTTTCGCGCTTTCTTCCATTTTGCATCCGGCGAGAAAAACTTAAAAAGCGCTGCTTTTTGAAGAAAATTAATTTTGAAACACGTTACATATTAAGTTGTTATCGGCAAAGGACGAGCGTTTCTAGCGGCCGGATATAGTGGGAAGCCGTGCAAGTTGGCGTCAAAGTTTTTGCTGACTTTCCGAGTTTTCGTGATTTATCGGATGCGCCGCGTGCGTCGAGGTGAGCGAAACGCGTCGGCGGTTCGCGACCCGATTGTTTCTTCTAGCATGGGGGTGGTAGAGGTGGGGCATGTAAGAGTTGCACTAGTAGAAGGGCGGCAATGTTGCGGCGTGATGCTAAAAACTCCACAAACGCAAACTTTGACCTTTCTGACGCTGCGCGATGATATATTGTCTATGTTTTTTCACTTTATATACAAATTTATATTATTCACAAGTGAATTACAGAAAAAAATTGTTTTTTCGTAATAATATTGTTGTTATTATACACAATCATTTTTGTTATTATATATATTGTTGACATGATGAAAAATGAGCCAATTCTAAGCGGAAAAGAATGATGTATCACCCGCACATTCCGAATCCTTGAATCGTCCTTCGCAACAAGCCCGACTTATTCGGTCTGAGGAAGGAAATGATCTTTGGAATTTTCGGAATTTTCTAATCTAACCGTTTGACACACGTCTTCTGATGGTTTGCTGCTATGCGTAGACATTCCTCAAACGCAAATAAACTGCATATTATTAACTTTTTTCATATTTTTTTGTGCTAAAAAAATAAACTTTTTTTTTCAATTGTGATAAAAAGTATTTAAGCAAGGAAAAAAATTAATTCTTACGTTTTAATATTAATACGCGCTAAGAGCGAGCGGAAAATCCGGCCCCAAAGTCGCGTCCGGTCTGGCGTCGTCCTGAAAAGCCGATCCTTTTTAAGCTCGTCCTTAAAACAACGCGAAACGCATTCGGAATTTAATATTCGCGCAGCCGGTTTTATTAATTTTTCGCGTGTCTCGCCCGTCTTCCGCAGGACCTTTATCCTTGGCGTCGTCCTTAAAATCCTTTAAGGACTTTTTTCAATTTTAATAATTCTACACGCAAAAAGTGCTAGTGTGGGATTTTTTGCGCTGGGTATATTATTTTTATTTAGGTTTAATTAAATATTAAACGCTTGTGTAATTAGGACTGCGATTCCGGAAATTGTACGAAATTGCATCGAAATCGCTAGCAGGAAAATTGCACTTTTAATCACACTTTCAATTATGCTCTTCGAGTCGCGATTTGCAGGAAAATTGCGTCGCTTGCACCGGAAACATTTACCTTTGACCTTCGTTTACGTCCTTCGGGCTTATTTTCTAGTGCAACTTAATTAAATGCAAAAACAACAAAAAATTACTTAAATTAACATTTTTTAATTTTCCGGTTTTCCGGTTTCCGGTTTTGGGTGGGTAACAAAAATCGATAAATTTGAAAGTTAATCAAAACGTTTTATCAAATTAACGTTCTGTTTGTTTTACTGATTTCCTGTTTTCCGGATTTCCGGTTACAAGTTCTGATAAGATAACTGGATAACGGCTAAAGTTGCTTTGAATTCGTCTCGAAGCTGCCATCCGAAATGCAAATCGGCGCGAATTTTCCCCGCCGTTCGCATCCGGTTCGCGTCTTTCCGGGACGTCGCAGGCGTCGCCGGCATAATTAAAATCAACGAGTTATAAGCGACGCGTTTTCGACGCAAACTTCGATGCGAGCTGTACTAAAGTTTTGATTGAGTCAACCTCAACGAGGCGCAACTCTTCGGCCCCCACACGGCCCCGCCGACCGCAGCTTAAATCGGCTAAAACGCAATAACTAACTAAACTTCCAAAGCTGCCCGCCGGCGAAAGCTCAATTAAAACAATCGCGCGACGATTAATGCGATTAGCATCGTTAAAATGCAACAAGTTTGCGACAAACATTCAAATGAATGTCAACATAATTTTTTGTTTAAAAAAAATTTAACCTTAAAAATTTTCATTGTAAAATTTAATTTATTTTATATGTGCTAATATATTTTGATTCTGTGTCAAATATAATTAGCATATATTGATTTTCAATTTCGAAATAATGTCAGTCTTAATAAAATTAATTAAAAAGCAAATTCGAATATTTTCCGCTTTATGCGAAGAACAAAAAGATTATTAGAAGTATAAGGAATATTAAGAGCATTAAAGAATATTAAAACCTCCAAGGACTCGCCGGCTTCAGGACAACTTAATTAAATCAAATCCTTGGAGTAGAATAAAATTAAAAACGATTACTTTAAAAATTATTACTCGTAAAAGCTTCATAAACTTACAAAAACATTCTTAAAGATTCAATGACACAATAAATATTTTTTCCTGCGTGGATATTTTATACATCAAAGTAAATTACCTTCATTTCCACTTGAATGATATTTAGAGTAATGGGGCAAGATGCTCAAGGTAGTATTCAGGACTTTCAGGACATTCAGGCGCATTTGTCCGGAACCACGTTTCTTATGCGCCTCGTGTGCTTCATGTGTTTCATGCAGAATTGGTGGAAAAAATGTGAAAGCAAAAAAAAGTGCTGAATCCACTGAAAACGCAGCGCAGGACGCGGAGTTGTCGCGATGCCAGGCACGCAATTCCTGTCACATCGCGGATACTCCCGCAGAGGCAAGCAGGACCTAACAGGACGAATTGCAGTCGGCTAGATATAAAGGACACCGGACGAGTTCCAAAAGAGTCTATCACAAGTTTAAAGTTAATTTGACAGGTTACTACTGGTATTTTACTTGCAAAATTGTTTTTATTCGCAAAATAAATAAATGAAAAATTAGAAAATTATGGTTTGGAATTATTTTCTTATTATTTTTGTTATAAAATAAAAAAATCCCAAATTTTTCAAATTTTTAATTTTTTTTTGTGTTTTTTGCATGTAATTTTCCTGCAATCGTCTTCAAATCGTCATAAAATTGACAATTGACCATAATCGTCAAGAATTTGTCAAAAAATTGTTATAAAATCGTCAATTAACAACAATCGTCAAGCAATCGTCAGGCAATCTTCAAGTAATCGTCTTTTTTGGGAAAAGCTAAATAAACATTTAAATAAATAAATAAATTGACAACATTTACTAAAAAAATATTTAGTATCAAGATGATAATAAAGAAAATGCGTTTGAAATCGACGAAATTAAATTCCGAATGAAATCGATCCGAAATCGAAATTGAATTGAAAGCTCGTGCTCAGAAGTGCAAAAAGCGAAGACGAAAACTTCGTAATCAACTAATTGAAGCGCACTTCCTGCGCGCGAGCGCTCACTAAAGGAAAAGCGTGTTACAATTATCTCCATTATCTCGCCGATATTGAGACTGCAATATTCCGACGCGATCACATTTTCGGTCGCTTAGGCGTTCGATTTCAATTGCGATTCGTCTTCCGGTCGCCTGTTTCTAATTTCATGATTGCGACACAATTTTATTATTTATTCAAACTTGATTATTGTACTCGTACATCTTGATTAAATTGAACTCTTCAGTTAGGGGAAGTTTATGTAAAGAAAAGTTCGCGTCGCATACAAACTATAAACTTATGTAATTAGAAAAGTTTCCGGTTTGAATTGTAAGTAAATGTTGAATTTTTTTTTCGTTGATTTTTTTTGTTTTTTTTCTGTGATAAATATGAATATAAATTGTGTGAAGGAAAGGTGCGATCATCATCAAATCAACATTTTTTGCTGTAAATGTTTACGTCTGCTCATTTTCCGACATTGAGGATATTATCCTGTTTCGGCCAGATTTTCCTGACACTTTCGCTGACAGCCCTCGCAGTTTTGTGCAGTTTAGCAAGCTTTAAATCTCATCAGCGCGAGATTACATTCGGTGACATTTTGTGTTTTTCTTTGGGGTGGTTATTTTATACCCTCCTAACATATTCATACCTTTTTGGCTTTGAGTATAAATCTAAATTGTATTTTATGAAAATATTGATGAATTCAAATTTTAATCCTTCGCATGCAATGAACCGATAAAGATAATTTCCATGGGCGGCGATTAAGACGCGCTGCGTTAGGTTTGGTCCGGCGGGATGTTCGGTTCGATTACACGCGCACCTCAATAATTATTAAAGTGTCACGCTGCCGCCCCCGGAGCGGATGACAAGGGTGCGCGGTTATCGATAGCGCGCTGCCACCATCGAGTCGAATTAATTATTACCGAAAGGACATTTTCTGGCCCGTCGAAGCCGAAGCTCAAGGATTTTGCAGCCTGAACCTTTAAACTCCTGCGAGGCTGATTGCCGAATTGCCAACAAATCGATTCTTCGACGATGATAAATCGCTACAGTTTAAACCCGAACTCGTTTTTTTTCCGGTGAATTTTATTTAACTATTTGTCAATTCATCGAATTGTATTCAATTAGGGATGGGATCTGGAATGCAGAAGGTGTTTCAGTGTTTGAATGCTTGACATTACCGGCTGATTGTTGCATTCCGCGCGTTCTGGGGGCGGCAGAGGTGACATTCTCAGCTCCCACCGCAGACTGATGGACTCGATCAATATGTCACCACCAGTAAAACATTATAAAATAATTTTATTATTACAAAACAAAAACGATGATTTTTTTATTGATTTTATAAAATTTTAATTAATTTTTTTTTTTATATTTATTTATTTAGTTTCATGTTTGATTTGTGCAGAGAACAGACTGATAACTTTATAACTTTGTTCGTTATCGAAAATAGCATCGCGCAGTTGGCGATCGAACATCAAAGCGAATTTGCGAAAAAGAAGATGAAGAAGTTTCGTTTGCTGCGAGCAACAAAGTGAATTAACTAACGACTAACGAACGCAATAAGGAAGCACTTCGCTACAGCTTTATTTCACTCATTCGCTGAGTAAAACAGCACAAAGTTAACAAAGAATTGAATTAACGAGCTCAAACAGAAACTCGAACAGAGGAAAAACAAGATTTTTGAAATTTATCGGAGATTAAAAGTTATTTCATTACTTAACAATAAAATATTTCTAGAAAAATAGAAAAAAATTAACACCCTGTATATTATTTAATATTGTATCTAAAAATTAAAAACTTTTAACTATAATTTTTTGTATTTTTATTAAAATAAAAACTTTTTAAATTTAAAAAATATAATTTTAAAAATAACAAAATTTTCAATTTTTAAATTTTATTGAACACCCTGTATAATGTGTTTTGTCAAAAGTATAAAATGTATCAATAGATGTCATCAGTCCATTGTGATTCTAACACTATACTAAAGCTGAGCTTTTGTACAATTTCTTCAGTTATCCTTTGCGTCCTTTGAATAAATCCTTTGGCCTAAAGCACAGGATTCACCCTTATCATGAAGACTTGTAGTCAAGTAGCGCTTATCAGTACACAAGGTGAAAATTCCCTTTTTGCAGCGAGGATAAGTATAAAAGTGGATTTTAAGTTGATTCAGATTTTTGTCACGTTGAAAGTCCTGAATTTAAGGATGTCAGGATGTCAGCATGCAGGATGCATTTGGCGTTGCCGAATTTCGCAATTTCTTCGCAATGTCCGTCGCCGCCACCGCCCACCATCAATTCGCCGGCCATTGTGTTCCTGTTAGTTAAACGGCTTGTAAATATTCGCCCCAGTGCGCCGCCTCCTGCGACGCCGAATCGAAATTCCATCTCCGGGCGAAATTATTTTCGATTTTTGCCAACTTCGGCAGTCGCCTCGGCGAATATAACACATTTCATGCCGAATATGTTTTATTACTCGTCGTGGCCGCTGGCCGGCGAGTAGGTAAAGCCGCCGGTGGCAGGACAAGCAAGTCCTTGAGGGGATAATCTATGGCGAGTGTCACGATCGGGAATGAATTTTCGGCGGACGTGATGGAAAATAGTTTCGGTCGGACGCGTGACAAATGCTCGCGATTAGCCATCGCGCCGCGTTGAGATAAGATTGGGGGGCGGCGGAGGGAGGTGTGAGTGTTGAAAACCAAGCGGACAACGCCGGCGTGATAGATAGTTATTCCGTGTGCATTTTGCTTCGATGCCTACGATAATTGACTATTGATCACAAACCGGAAACTTTTTTATTTCCGGTTTTGTACAAAATAACCGGAAGTAGAATATCATTTGTATTCTAATGATTTTAAATTTATTTGTTGGAGAATTTGAAGAGAATTTCCGGTTTTCCGGTTTTCTTACCAAAAACTCCTTGGAGGAATCGCACCTCAATCGGTTCGTTTTCAACCCCTGGCGGCGTTCGCGCAGCCTTTGAGCAATTTGCGTGCGCGGGAGAATTCCGGCAACGTCTCAGTAGGTCGACGCGTGCATTATGATGATGTACAATGGCGGGATCCTTCAGGACCTGCGCTGCGCGCGACGAAAATTGCACAAAGATGCAGAGAAGCCAGCGAAAAAGTACGCTCACTCATGCCACGAACATAAAATGCCAATTTATATACGTAAAATATAAATATCTAGAAATATACAATGTGTTCATGGTGAAGGTAAAAATAATCCTTGATTTAAATATTTCCAGAGAGGTAAGAGAATAAAAGTGTGCAATTTAATGTATTGGAAATACAAATGGGGTTGTGCACCACCAAAGTGTTGGCACTTTCAAGCCCGCTCACGGAGTATTCGCCTTCCGTGTCCTGCGGGACCCTACGAAAGGAGAGACAGCGCCGAGATAGGGCGAGGTCCTTTATAAAACGTAATGTATCGTGTAACGTTCTAATCTCGAGGGCAACTTTTGTACTCATCCCGGAAAACACGTGTTCGGCGGCGGTGGATAAAAATACTTGCCATTGAATTCACCTCATGAATTCTGCATCCTTCCAATTTTATGGGTTTTGATGGGTTTGTTCAGTTTTTTTAATTTAAATTTTTAAATTATTATTTATTTATGATTATTTTTTTATGTTTTTATATAAATATTTATTTTGCATTTTATATGGTCTTATGCTGCACCATAGGCAAATGCGCATGCAAAAGCTCCTCCCCGTGACTAAAGTCTGTGACTAAAGTACTTTAGTCACGACCTTAATCATCCGTGTTTAATATAACACTTTTTGTGTCTCAAAACATGGAAAACTGACGCTTTAAAGATGAATATAAAAAAATATTGTTTTTTGGTCTTTTTGACCCTTATTATGTACATATTGTCCTCAAAATTTCAATTTTATTTTAAATGAAACTTTCCTTTAATACCAACTTCCTTGAAAAATAAAAAAAAATACTGCGGTATAATTTTTTTATCCTCAAAAGTGTTGTTAATGTGTTGTGTTTTTTCCAAACTCGGTTGCGACTGAAATTGCGCAAATTGCCGGGAAATAATTTTTTCCTCCGCCCGCTCGAGTGACAGTGTTAAATTACCCGAGGACTGAACCTGGCTGGAAAACATCGAGTGATTTTTTTCCGTCGCTTGCGTTTCGGCGGGCTGGATCAAATCCTGCGCTGAATAAATACGCAAAAAAAAACTTAAAAGATTTTGTTTTGGTATACAAAAAAGTATTGACTTTTTTATTCGACGAATTATTTTTAATTTATTTCTGGGGTAAATATATAGTCTCTCAGGCAAGTTAGACATGTAAGGTAAAGTTAAATTAAATTGTAATAAAATTAGGAAATAAATTCATGTGTGCTAGTCTCACTTAAAGTCAAAAACAATAGAATGATACTAAATTTAAGAAACTAAAAAGAAATTTATTTTATTTTCCATACAAATTATTTGTACCTGTCAAACAGAAATTAATTTTACAACTAAACTTATTAAGAGAAATTTAACAATAATTTTTTTTTCTCAAGCTACTTTTTATTACAATAAAAGAAAAAATGATACATGGAATGATTACATTAAAATAATTATACAAATCAAATTTAGATAATTTTTTTTTAATTTATAATTTTAAAAGGTTTAATGATGTAGTTTCTTCACGGGATTGATTAAAAATTAATTTATATCCTATATAAAAAATTAATCCAATTATGGCAAATAATATAAAAATAAGAGTAATAGAAATAAAATACTGCAAATGTACAACCAAACTAATCTTATCAATATTTGTATTAATTGTAGCATTAGGTATAAGAGTTGGCAAAGGTTCGGCGGTTTCAGTAATGACATCAGTAGTGATATCAGTTGTGATATCAGTAGTTGATTCTTCAGTAAATGTCGTAGATTCCTCTTCTATATATTCCACATAATTAATGCTATTTAAAAACTTATCTTTAGGTAATTTATTGATAGTTTTCAACTTTGGAAAATCACCAACATGAAACGTTGTATTCCATTGCAGATTAACATTACCAATCAAGCTTATTTCTTTCAGACTAGACCAACCATTTCCAATAGGACATTTCTTTAGATGATTATAACCAGCATAAAATATTTCTATATTTTCTGTTACAATTGACTGTCCAATGAGTTCAAGGTTAGCATTTCCTTCAATCACAAGAGAGTTTAGTTTAATATTTGTATCCAAGCATCCAAGATTAAACTTTTCTAAAGAATTATAATACAGTGTTAATTTAACTAGATTTGGCTTCATGTGTAGAAGTTGACACACCAGTGTCTCGGTGAGATAATAAAATATAATTGTTATATCCTGTAAGTCATGCTGCTTTTGAATTGCTTCCATACATTTATCGGTCAAATGTAAATGTTGTAGGTGTCCGAGAGGTTTAAGAAGTAAAGTAGAAAGAAATTCTTTCTTTTCCAATAATTCCTCACATGTCATGGCATTTGTTGTGATTGGTATCACAACAAACACAAATAAATAATATAAATAGTGATAAGCCTAAAATTTTAAATTTATTAAAAAAAAAATTATTGTTAGAATAATATTATTTGTCTTACCATTTAAAAGCTGTGTAGTCAACTTTAGTTAAGGATGATTATTTTTATACTGAATACGTTTCTTGTTTTTATATTTGTCATATAACGGATGGGCAGTGAGGGAAATAAATTATCGAAAGTGGTAGGCGGTTTATCATATCTGGATGAGTAATTATAACTCTAACAGTAGTTTTGCAATAAGACTAATCACTATCGTATAATGTAATTCTATGAGTCAACTCTATAGGCATCGTAATGTTAAATCATTTGATAACAATTTAATCGGTGTGGATACTTCCGGTCTTAGTCACACTGCATTTACATTTTGAAAAAATTTTGTTTTGTATTTTTTTCCTTTTTTTTTTTCAAAATTTTAAGCATTTTGGGAAATAATTTCTTTGACTTGACTTGATTTAGTTTTTGAAGGTTGGAAAATATTAAATTTGTGTAAATTTTACCAAATTGTATCATCTAAAGAAATAATATATGAATTTAATAATATATAAATAACTAGCTTTATCTCGCGGCTTCGCTCGCGTTGAATCCATCAAATAAATATTAGAAATCAATGAAGTTGCTTCCGTACGCGTCTGTAGTCACAGAAGAAGTAACAATGAAGTAGAATGGCGGGAAATTTAAAATGGGTGAAAGTATAGTCTATGGAAGTATAGTGTACAGTCTCCATAGTGTAGTCAATTGGATTTGATGTTGACGTAGCTGTCGGTAATACAGTGTGATAATACAGTGTGATGGTACAATAGTACTTAGGTTTGAGCTTCATTGCTGGAATGCTAGATGGCGTTAAAGTAGTCCAATAACCAGATGCAGAGGTATTATTGGCTAAACAATTTCTTTATTTTACTTAAAAAATATTTTTTTTATTAAGTAAAAAGTAGCCTATAACCATTCGGGGACCACTAAGAATATGTGTACAAATTTTCATGATGATCTGTTAAGTAGTTTTTGCGTGAAAGCATGATAAACATCAGGACCTTCGCATTTATAATATTAGTAGGGATTATGAATCATCCTCCTATTACCAGCTAATATTTTTTTTATCCGAATTAAATCCAAATCTATCACAAATCAACATTGAAAGTTTGTGATCTCAAAAATCCTTTGGAATCTTTCCCCAACTGCAGTGTCAACATAAGTACATGACTGCAAAGCAAACCAAAGTTACAACATGTATATACAGAGTGTTTCAAAACCTCTATCACACCATATATAAAAACTTAAAACTCCTCACTTTAACCTACCGTACATTCTCACAGTATGACAGTATATAAATTGGCATTTATGTTCCTGGCATGTACCCCCTTCCCACATCATCCCCTAGCATCTTTTCTGCTTTGTGCAATTTTCCCAGCGCCAGCGGCGCAAAACCAACCGTTGTACGCAAATTGCTCAAAGACAACCGAACAACGAAAAAAACCCTAATAAAAACATGATTCCTACTAGAATAGTACACGATTTCCGGAATTGTAATTAAAACATTACAACCCTATTCAATCTTGTGTCTTTGCATGTATAGATTAAGAAATAAAATCACATAGAATGTGTGAGTGAGTAGGTCGTAAATTAGTCGCGCGATTTTAATTACGCGAGCGAAATTGTCATGCCCGGAAAAGAATGCACTTCGTCGTCGGCGATATTAAACTTCCGGGGAAGGTTGGGATGAGGGTCAACCTGCGTCGCGGCGTGCGTGAAGAGCGGAAACGTCTCGAGTGGGTCTCAGGTGGCGCGAATTTACGACGAGCTACAAATCACCAATCAGCTAACGAACGACCTGCCGCCTCCCGGTCGTTGGGAGTGATCAATGGGCGCGTACGTCCAGACGTGTCCTTTGGGTGAATTTTATTAATTACTCACGCTTAAAATATTAAACTAAACACTATTCTCCACTAGTAATTTATATAAATTCATTTTTATTTTTTTTTTGAGAAAAAAAAACGAAGAGGATTTTTATTGATTCAAGGAATTTATACGTGTCGCACGTGGAGCGCATGCAAAGCAAACGAGACGCGATTAAGAACGCGTCGGTCTAATTTAGAGTCCCGGAGTCGAACATGATCCCGATAACAAGCGGGCGAAAGACTCGCGTGGAATTTCAATCGCGACCCGATTTTTTCCCCCAAAAGCAGAAATGGAATATTAAATCCCCACGGCTAGAGAAACGAAACGAAAAAAAAAACCACCATCACCTAACCCTACATCGGTGCGAGAAAAAATGTGAAACTTTTCGTTGCGCTTCATTTGCATCGCTGCAATTAAAAACTTTCGAAAAAGTTGGCCCGGCTGCGCGAAAGTTAGTGATTAATACGACCGGCCGGACTTTTGCCTGTCACCTCAAAAATAAAAGCGAGCGACTTACATTTAATGATCTCGCTGGTAGACTTTGCCGGAAACTTAATTATTTTAAAGTTTTTTACGGCGATAAATTTTATTTCTATTTCGGCGGCTTGGGATTCGCCGGTGGAATTTATCGTTGCATGTAATTGAGTTTACGCTCCTGTCGCATTATCCTGCGAACACGAATCCGACATTACTACTACATCGCGTGTGCGTTTTTATTGTTCGGGTTGTTAAAGTTTCGATGAACGCATTCGGAAATGTTTACGGTTGGAAGTGGTGATTAATTCATGATTACATTTGACGATCAATGTTATAATAGATATTTATTATGTATTGGTTTGTTATTTATTCTGTACTTGTTACACGTTGTAAAATTAATATTTAATAAATTTTTACAAATTATTTTGAGAAATAAAAAATTTTTTTTAAATTTTTTTATTTATGTGAGTTTAATTTATAAATAAAATGTTTTTTAGTGTTTTATTATTTATTTCGTTTATTTTATAAATTATTTAAATTATTTTTAATAAAACACATGAAATATTTTAAAATTTAAAAGAAAAACTCGAATAAAATCCAAAATTTTCAAAAATTTATTTTTTTTCAAATAAAAATCGTTAATTTCATTATTTCTTCACAAGTTTTTTATTATAATAAATATTTTACTATAATTAAATGATATTTAAGTCTAACCAAAACCTGAATCCTTTTAAAAATTCAAATTTTTGATTCTTTTAGTGATCTCAAGTCGCAGGATAAAAGCGTGGCTCGTAATGAAGGTAATGATGACATATCTCTGCAGTTTGTAATGGCAGCGACATAACGATAACGGATAACGAGCGGCAAGCGCGGCAATAACAGGATTCGCGCGCGCTCCCGCAGGACGTTACGGCGCCCGCGGGGGCCGTAAGGACGCGCCGAATGTGTCACCTCGTAAAGCGGACCGTGACACGCGCAGCCGGCAAGCAGCGGCAAAGGTGCTTAAAAATCTAATGAAATATTTAAGTTTTACGCCACATTTGATAGGAAATGTGCTGAGGACGCGCACCGCGCGTAATGTCCTCGTTCATCAACGGCGCCGGCGGCGGCGCGAAGCCGTAAAAATTCAACGACAGCGCAGGATTACCAGATAACGCGCGGAACGGTCTGCAATCGCGGTCGGCTGGACGACTCATGAAGACATCAGGAAATAAGAAAAGAATTGAGAAAAAATGTTTTGAGTTCCAACTTTTTAAAAAATTGATAGAAACTTATTTAAAAGATAAAAAATTTAAAATAAAATTGGGAAGACATTGATAAAGATTAAATTTATAAAAAAATAATAATTTGGTGAGTAAATAATTGATAATTTAAATAATATTTAGCATTTTATAAATAATTTAATTATTTATCAATAAAATAATTTTTTTGTTGATTTTTGCATTTTTTTTATGAAAAAAATTGTTTTTAGACCAAAAAAGACAAATTTAAAAGAAAAATACTAAAAAAAAGTTATCTTAAGTGATATTACACATTTATATCCAAGTTTTGATACATTTGCAGTTATGACAATTGAAAATTATTAAAAATAAATTTAACGGCGCAATAATAAAAATGCACCTCTTGAATGCATGTTTATTTGCGCTATTTCCGTTTAGTTTTTTTCCAGTTCCACTCGTACCTCTCGAGCTAGCAGTTTTCAGTTCACATTCGCTTCAATTCCGGTAAACTTTTATTATTTTAGTGCACAGTCGGGATTGCGCCACGCTGCGGGGGTGTGTTTTGTGTTGTATTTACTCCAGACTCGGTTCTCGGTACATTCGTATGGGAATGCCGCATTATACGAGCAATCAGGGATCGATGCAGCTCTCGCGGTGCGTTCTAAACTTTTTCCACCTTCCGACGTCGTTGTACGCTCGACGAAATAAAAGCTTTAGAATTCGCGGGCGAGAACAAAAGGCGCATACACAACTAAAATGAACAAAAAAATACATCACGATAAAACGCAACCGGGAATTTTTCTTCTGCTACGGTGCATGCATGAAAAGAAATCAAAAATAAATGATTTTAAATTATAAAATTTTAAATTTGAAAAAATAAATAATATCTATTTAAAACAATTTATTGAAATGGTAAGTAAATAAATATTCGGATCGTTTTAATAAAATATTAAAAAGAAAAAAATTGTTTATTTATTTTCATTTCATGTATGTAGCGACACCTAACGTGAATAAAATTTACTTGAAGACAACTCTATAGCAATTTATACTCGTAGCAGGAAACCTTGCTAGCAGCTACTTTCACATTCCTGCTACACCGCTTGCCTACAGATAGCGCAGCTAGTTCCAAAACCCACCAAAACTACTTTTAATCATTTACTAATGAGATTACTTAAATCATTAATCACTTAATAGATAACATTCTATATAATTCAAACGTAAAACAAAGTAGACAAATTAAAAGATACCGGATTAATTAATGACTCACACGTATCTTAATTACTTTCCTAAAAATAAACCAATCCCAAGAAATTATGACCACAACAAAGTTTTCTAGTTCTTCTAATAGGTATTTAATGAGATAAATTGATTAGTAATTTATCAATCAATTAACTTTCCATAATTTTGTGGTATAAAAACAGCGCACCGAAATTTGTTTGAGTTAGACATTGTTTAACAAGCAATCCATCAAAACTCCACTTGTTTTGATTGTTTTGTCCTCCAACGGCGCCGAAATGAAGTTTTTCGTTGCGATCGTGCTGGTGAACGTTGTATTGATTAGTGGTCTTCCTCATCATCGTAAGTTACATTTAGTTACATGTTAGGTGTCATGTATTTTATAAAAAATGTTTTTTTAGACGCTGAACATAAAGAGACTTACAACTCGTATAAGGTTTCTCCGGTTTATGTTGATGGTGTAGCTACTTCCGGTTCTTCAGCAGCTGCAGTATCATCGTCTTCGTCATCTGCTTCATCTGCATCGGAGTCTTCTAAATCTGAAAGTTCCTCGTCTTCGTCGTCTTCTTCTTCGTTTTCGAGCAATGGAGGTTATTCAGCAGGGGCTGCTGCATCGGCCGTTGGTGTTCATGGGTCCAATGTGGGTTATGACTCCATTGGAGGTGCATCTGGTACAGCCTACCTTACTGCGGAGAGTGGTCGTGTAGCTGGAGCTTCTGGTTATGAAGGAGCTGCTGCTTCTTCTTCTTCAAGTTCTTCTATGTCTTCTTCTTCATCTGCTTCCGAAGCTTCTGAATCTTCTTCTTCGTCTTCTTCTGGTTATACAGCAGGTGCTGTTGCGTCGGCTGCTGTTTTGGAAGGTGCTACTTATGAAGGTCATGGTGGTCATGGATCCCATGGTCATGGTCATGTTCGTACTGGTCTTGAAGTGGAAGGTGCTTCTGCGGCAGCAGCTGCAAGTGGATTTGAAACTGCTGCTTCTGCTTCTTCTTCATCAGCTTCATCTGCTTCGTCTTCTTCTTCTTCAAATTTTGAAGAAGCTAGTTCTGCAGCTGTTTCTGGATCATCAGTTTATGGTGAAGCAAGTCGTGGAGAAGGTTATGTAGAACACGATAGTCATGGACATGGACATGGGCATGAACATGGTCATGGTCATCATGGTCATGGACATGATCACAAAGATAAATATTACACTGGTGCTATAATTGCTGACAATTCCGCAGCTGCATCTGCTGCAACAGAATTTGAAGCAGGATCCTCTTCATCAGCTTCATCTGCGTCTTCTGCTTCTTCCAACTACGATGCTTCCAGTTCATCTGCTGCTGCTGCTAGTGCTTCCACTCATGGAGACTCCTACATTACTGGTGCTGTTGAAGTAGGACATGATCATGAACATAGTCACGGTCATGGTCATGCTCATGATGTCAGTGTGACTACCGGAGATAAATATTATACAGGTCTTATCATTCCTGATAACATCGAAGGAAGTGCATCTGCATCAGCCTCAGCTGGTTCAACCACATTTGATGCCAGTGCCACTTCTGGTTCATCTGCATCTGCTTCTGCTTCAACACATGACGCTGCCACCTATGACGCTTCATCCTCTGCTGCAACCAATTTAGACACTGGTGATGTTACCGGAGTCATCAAAGTACAAGAAGTCCATGGTGTAGCTGACAACGGTGATAACATCCATTCCATCAACGTGGGTTCCATCACTGTTGGTCATGATGCAGCTGGAATTGAAACCGGTATTCAAACATCTTCAGCTTCTTCTTCATCATCCTCAAGCCAATCAAGCCAATCCAGTCAATCATCCTCATCTTCATCATCTTCCTCCTCATCCTCCTCAATGGGAGGCTTTGCCGGAGGTCAAGTAGGAACATTCGGATTCGCACAGACTGGCCATGGAGGTAGTGGAATTGGTTTTGGACATGGAGTGCACAATGGACTTAACCTAGACTTGCATAACACCCATGGTAATGGAATTCAAGGTTTTGCAGGTGTTCATGGTTTGACTGGGTTACATGGACTGCATGGTCTTCACGGATCCACTGATACCTTTGCCATCCATGGTGGTCATGGAGGTCCCACAGGAATAGCCCACACTGGACACACAGGTCTTCATGGTACATCATTCGGTTTATTGAATAACGCAGGTGGACATGTTGGTTTTGGAGCAGGTTTACACGGAATCCATGGTGGTTCTACAGGCGCCTTTGGTGCTTCTGCTTTTGGAGCTAGTTCCGCTGCTGGAGGATCAGCTTTCAATCAAGAAGCATCATCTTCTTCTTCCTCAAGTAGTTCCAGCTCATCTTCAAGCTCCAGCTCTTCACAATCTGCTTCCTCTTTGGGCACTAAACAATTTGGTGCTTTTGGGGCTTCCGCTGGATTGATCAAAACCAATAAGGGACACGGTCATTTCTAATAACAAATAACAATAACAATGTATGGAATATAACTTCCCAATCAATATATGAATGACCATTAAAAATTATAACACCCATTGAATACATGTATACAAAGTGTTTGTGAGTTGGCTTTGAGGAAAATCAGTTTGATGGAAAATCAGTAACCGCCGCAAGTGGAACATATTTCACTGTCTGGCTCGTCGTTCGAGTCGACATTCACGTACGCGAAACACATCAGCACTTCACTACATCAACACATCGGCTTATCGATTCGCACGCGCTCTATGGGGCGCTGGGTGGCGGCGCAGGGGGTGGCAACGGGCGTGTGCACATCTTCATTTCGAATTCGTCGACGCGCTACGCCAACGCCGCGCGAATGCGAAATTGTCGCGCGGCGCAAAAAAAAAATCATCCCAAAAGCAAAAAATCCACAAATGTACTACCACCTACATTTAACCCAGAGAAAAAAATGTTAACCAACTCTTAAATTTTTTTCCTACACGTACAATATTTTTTCGACTTGTGCGATTACATGACAGAAAAGATAGAAATATGTAAAAATGGCGGAATGTAAATTCGGTGTATGTGTATATATATAAAAATGAAAAATACAAAAAAAGACGCGCGCGGCAGCGGAAATAAAATAACCTCGCAGACAGTAAACGCGCCTTCGAGTTCAAGTCGTTGGCGCGCGTCACGCACGCTCTGCATTCGAAATTTGAATGTAACAAGTAAAAACCGGCCGCTAGCCGAAAAGAACGTAACAAGTAGCATTAGGTTGACATAACAATATTCTCCACACTCAAAAGAATAGAATATTTTATTCTACATAATAAAAAAAATAAATTCACAAAGTGTTACTAGACTCAACAAAATATCAAAATGCATTTTTGTTGATTGCAGCAATTTGCACATTTAATCATCACTCGTCAAAAATTGTTTACGTTCAATTCGCGCAGCGATAAAAAAATGTAATAAAGCTTGTAGTAACGAGTATTATTCGGGTTATTTCGTTTGGAATTCCATATTTCACAAATATTTCCGGTGATGCATGACAGCAGCGCAAACGCGAGTTGATATAATAAATATTTGAGTGCATTTAGTGCATGAATATTCCGGAATTTTGCCGTTAGGTGGCCGTAAGTTTTCCGAGCGTGGGCGTATAGGGGTTGGTCGGGTAATGCGACGTCACGGCAATCGATCATCACGCGACGACAATCATATGTTGACACGCGTTCGCCGGCTTCGAGCGAAAAACGATTAAATATTCACGGACGTGCAATGAGATTATAAACAAATCAGTCTCGCATTATTCCTCCTTTGGATGGTGAATTTAACTTAACCTAATTTGAGTGCTGTTGAGAGTAGTAGTAATATGGTGGACAATCAAAGATTGGAATTTAAAAAGAAAACAAATCACAAGTTTTGTCTGTCTAGTCTCTAGAGTCGATAACAACGTTTCCGTGCGACATGCGACGACCACCCTATTCTCCTCCACCCCCAGAACCGTGCCGGACGGTGCTTAGCCCCATGGCGCACCGCGTTCGTGACGACATGACAGCGTTGTCACAACGGCATATTTTTTTTATTCGATTTCCAGGACTTCTCTTTTTGTGTCTTCAACCGGCACGTCAATTATATGCACAACAAATTTTATATACACACTGTTTCAAGAGAAATCAAAAATTTTAATTTTTAGACATATTGTATATAGAAAATCACTACTGAGACCATAAATGTGTTTATTTGTTTGTTTGTTTCGCTTTGGAGCAATAACCAGTAAAGTAATTTTTACAAATTTTAGTTTAGAGATAGTTTAGACTAAGGAAAATAAAATAGGCTACTTTTTGTTACGAAAATATATCTTAAAGGGTCTTAAATAAGGGATGAAAGTTTATATACGGATTTATTGATAAAATAGTTGTATAATTCAAATTCAGATGGCGCTATAGTACTTTATAACCCTTTCTCCTCCCTATAAATCAAATTTTGATATTTTTTCAAAATTATGACCTCATTAAAAATCCAAAAAATTAAAAAATAATTAATTCGTATATTTTGTATTAAAATCACCCTGGTTAAAATCCTATGCAAAATCTACCATAATATAAAATACAATGTAGTATAACATGTGACGTTTTTCCGCGTCGTTTGCATATTAAGATTCTTCGCGGTAGCGCACCACACGAACACAATTAATGTGACAAAACTTTCCCCCAAGAAGAAGGGGAAATGCGCGAAGGACGCCGCATGCAATTATGTGGAACACGCGCGCGCCGGATCTCATCCTGCGTTTTGACAACTTGCCAGTTCATTGTTTTGCTGCTTATGCGCCTAATGCGACTAATCCCTCTCGTTAAACTTGTAGCATATCTGTTTAATGCGGTATTACTGCGAGATATTTGCGTGCGATACACGGATAACCCGCCAGCTGCCGCGGCAAGCACTTCCGGAATGTGCGCAGCGAATTTGATCTACGACTGATTTTAATTAGATTGCGTTCGTGATTAAAATACTGCTTATATCATAACATGTATGTGGCATGTGTAAATATTTGCTTTTAATGAAACACCGGAAAACCGGAAATGTAAAAAATAAGACTAAATCTGTTGTTATTCTACATATTTTGTTTAATGCGTGTTGGTTGCATTAAAATAGCTGATGTTTTATTGAAAACCGGAAAACCGGAAAACCGGAAAATATTTTTCCTGTGCATGCACTCGCGATGCGCGTAATTGTTTTCGTCTCTGTCTCCTTTTGTTTTATGCTTGTCATTTTTTTTTCCACCGCTGATGTTTGCGCTGCGGTTTCGTGATGTTATCGTTGTAATGACATGCGGTCGTAAATATTTTCGGATTTATTTTCTTGTCGGGGCGGTTCTAAGTTCTGACTGGTACCGTTATTGACTATAAATGAAACGATTTTATATAATCGTGATTTTTTAGTAAAAGGAATGCTTTTATGACCGTTACACGAGGTAAGAAAAGCGAACGTCGCGCACGGAAAAATTTATCATCCGATTGGGAAATGACCCGCACCACTTCCGGGCATAATTTAAGCACGTACTACATTGGTGCGCCAGTAGCCGATTTGCCAATTGCTTTATTTCCCAGGTGCGTATTTGACTTTTAGATTTGCATGCAAAAACCGCGCATAACCGGAAAACCTGATCATTTTATTTCATTCGGAATCTTAATGCAACTTAACCACATTGTATATTCTTTCAAACGTATGTAAAACATAGCCGGTGACATCGCGTTGTTATTGTGATCTTGTTACTCAAACATGAACACGAGCTGGAAGAATGATGAAGGGTGGGTTTATTTTAAGGGGAAGGAGGGTTGTGTCGAATAACCTGGCGCTCTTCCACGAAATTTGATATACTCTCGTGCCGGAAGTGAACCACTCCATTTTGTCACCGAAATCATAAAGAAACAACATTCTTGTATAAATAAAAAAAATACACGATAAATAAAAACAATGTGTATGTGTTTTAGTTTTATTTTTATTTCATATATAAATATTTTCCCTTTTTTTTCTTTTGCATTGTTTGTTTGTCGGTGAAAATTGTATGCAAAACTGTTTTTAATCATCGATTTAAATCCGACATAAACGCATTTGTACGAGGAGTTAAACGAGCAGTGCATTTGTTTGGTTATGTGCGTTAGTGTGAGCGCGCAACGGCGGCCATTACACGCCGGCGTAATGTGTCGCGTGCCGACGAACGTGTGCAGAAAAACAAAAGCTCGCACGCGCGCGCGCGCACATACACATACATATCGCAAAAACAACAACGCTAAACTGTCTGTCCGAATCGCAGGCGAGCTCGGCGGGCTGCATACGTGGGATTTGCATATTTGCATATTTATAAGGGGCAGCATCTGCCCCCGAAGCGGGAGAAGGGCGCGCATGCACGATATTGAATATCTCACCCCGTCGAGTACATCCAACAATCCAACCAGTCCAACAATTCATAAATCTAGGAATATCAAGTAGTTTCTTGGAATACAACGCCGACATTTTTCGAAATATCATATCAAATTTTTTCTGCTTTCGTATATAAATGTGTCGCCATTTTGAATTGAGTTTATGCTATTGTGTTAACATTAATATCGGCAGACATGCGTATTAACGTCCAGCGATGCATGAATAAAGTTTCATTCATTCATTCATTCGGCATGCATGGGGTTGTCCGTCGAGGAATGATGAAGCGGCGGCGGCGGCGGCGGCACAATTTGCGGGCGTAGTTTATGCACAGCCAAAGTTAGTTTTGAACATTTCCGCTCACAATACGCGCGCCGTACGAAAATGCGAACAAGGGTGGAAATAGTTTGCGGTCCATTACCGCTCGGCCATCATCGCGATCTAAAAGGAAATGAGGTTAGGACTAAAGCGCGGGATTTACTGAAACAGGTTAGAATGGAACATAACCTTATTCGTATTAGCACTCGGAGTCGTATGCGTGACACTCGAAACAACACCGAACAATTCTGTAACGAACCAGATTTATGTTGCGCGAAACTTTAATGCAGTTTAAATCAATTCTACTTTTGCGTTGACTCTTGGTAAAACCAAACCAGCAGTTGTATTAACTATTAATTGATATATAATTGTTTCAATTATTGTTTAGTATCAAAATGAGGTTTTATAATGAGCTTGAAAAAAAAACTAGTAACACATTTATAGATTAAGGCTCTATTGGTAAGTTAAATCTAATTTTTATATTAAAATTGCAAATGGGGCTTAAACGGTAAATGTTAAAAAAGGTAATATTTAAACAATTGATAGATAATTTAATTCAACATCGATTATTTTAGTGACATTTTTGTTTAACATTGACCAGTTAGGCCTTATTACTTTTGGGAATATACTTATTTTATATTTTTACCAGACAGAGAATTTTCCAATCTTTCATAATAAGCAATTCGTTGGTTGCCACCGCTTTTAGTTGAAGAGATATTAATTATTGAAAATCCTCGACAAACATTCTCAAGCACCCCCCCCTTGGCAATTTTTT